TGCCGTGGACGAACTGGTTTAGCGCCGTTACGTGGGAGCCAACGAATTCCCTCTGCCATGCTCTTTTGTGTTTTTTTTCTTTGTTCGCCTATTCCCACAACCACTACTATCGTCGGTTATTATTTTTTTTTCTCCCGCAATGGCTGCGGCAACACCACAACCCGCTGGACGACGGCAAGGTCGGGGTGAGAGGAAGAGGAAGTGAGAGACCACGCAGTTGGAGTGTCAACGTTTCCACCTTTTTCCCTCTTGCTTTTTTTCTGTGCCTTGGGTCTAAAACAAAATGTAGAAAGAGAGGCAGGGCAATTTAGGCTGCGAAGAAGGCAACGGTCCTGGTTTCTTCTTGTCTGTTTTCGTTCCGTTCCCACACTGACGCGGTTGTGCATTCCAAACCGCGGTGGAGGAAACGTGGTGTGACGGATGAAGCGGCGAGGAACACAGCCAAGGCTGGAAACCCCAAGGAGCAATTGTGATTTGTTTTTTTTTTGGGAGCGCTGTTGAGTTATGAAAGGTAGAGTAATGCTATTTTCCCTTGGGCTGGTGTGGGTGGATGTAGTTTTGTTATTAACATTTATAGGTGAATGTTTTGCGTGAGTTGCTAAGTGGCTTGAAGGACTGAAGGAAGGCTTTTGTCTCATTTTTTGTCTTATCTTTTCAGTTTGAGCAGCGTGGGGCAAATGTGAGAAAAATGGTTTTATCTCTTGACCAGGTTTTGGTCTTTCTGCTCATCGAGTTGTATTAAAATTATTTTTTTTTTCTTTTGTTTGAAAAATGCCATTTTAATTCCATTTTTGAATGGTGTTCCCACTATGATTTTTAACCATTGTAGATAACCATAATGAAAAGAGAGAATGCCGTAATGAAGGAAGAAATTTGTGCTATTCACGAAATGAAAATGAAGTTGAATGAAATACCACTTCCCTCGTGCAAATGGCGATGCCACAGACCTACAAAACGATGTACTGTTGGCACGTAGTTCTACGTGGCGTTGTAGGGATGGGACATGCTTTAGATGTTCGAGCTACGATCTTGAGTCAAGTTTTCTTTTTCCCATCTTTTCACTTCTTTCCCTACCGCCTCTAGCTACTATGATGTCTAAATGGCCAAAAGGACTGCATTGAAAGGCTGCTCGTGCTGCTAAGATGCATACATTTTTTATGTATGTATGGTTGTATGCATGTGTTGTTTTGTTACTGTAGTACGTACATTTTCTGTATCTGTTTTTTTATAGTGTCGTCTTCTTTCTTTGTACTGATTGGGTGTGCGGTTTCTCTGACTGTTACCATTGAAAAAAAAAACGGAGAAGGTTGTGTTCCTGCGTGGTTATTGTATTATTTATATTTTGGTGGATAAACAAGGTTTATATATATACATGTTTTGCGTGTCACAACTTGATGGTATGGAAGAGTTGAAGAATACGGGATGCTTTTGAGGTTTTACTGTTTTTTGTCTATGGCCTTTGGAGGTGCATTGTTGACCGAGTCATATTGGACTTTCTTGAGGTTTACCCATTCCCCTGCAGTTGTGGAAATGCTTTCTGAATGTTAGGGTGCGAGACATGATATGGAGACCGGGCGTCCTTTCTATTCGTGGCCTACACGGCTTGGCTAGTCTGCGTTAATGCATCAAACCCTAACGGGAAATTGCGGGTATGAATGCCCATGTTTCTCGTATTTTCCATGATACGTTTGTGGTGTCCGACATTGAGTCGTTCGGCTTGGATACTGCGGCGAATTTGTTTTTTGGGGGGGCAGTAACTAATCTTATCGGTTGGCTTTAACTGCTGGCTTGACACGATATTTTGCGGTGTTTTTGATGCCTTCACTGACATCTATTCACGACCAAATCTCGTGATACGTGTTGTACAGGTTCTGGGTGGAAATGCACTCCGCAAAGGCCTCTTTCTACCTTGCTTTTGTAAGCAAACGGTGGTGTAAGGGAGTTTTGCGTAGAGGGTGGGCTGGACAGGTGTTGCTGGTGAAGTCGTTTGCCATTGCCCACAAGTCTTCTTTGAAACGCGCCCTACATGGTGTGACGCGTTGCCTGGGGGATACGTACAGTTTGTTGGACCGTGTAACTGCATTGGTTTCTTCCATTGAAGATATGCTCGAAGGCGAGCGCCCTCTTTCGCCTGAGAGTGGCGCGAGCGCACCGATGAATCTTCATATCACAATGATCGTTGCCTTCTTTCAAACGTACACGCCACCGTGGTTTCAACCGTGAAATTAATGGCACGCACAGCGCGGTCTCCCGGCACCATCTACTTCCTTGACGTGTATTAGAGAGGTATGCCGGATGATATACTGAACTTGGGAAGCGACGCGATTGAGTTGGTCATGTTGGACTTCCATTCGCACATCACTTTAGAGGTAACTCCGAACAAAATAGAGATATATGCTTCCTTGAAGGCTGTATTTGGCCTACTACTAGATATGAGGGGATTTACAAGAAGCTACACAAAAAAAAAAACATCAGTAAAGAAATTTATGCACGACAGGCTTCTTCAGATGACAGAGACTGGATGGAGGCATATTTTTTTTGCTGGTTGCATTATCGTGCCTTCTATTTTGTAGCTTTGATTGAGCAGTACAACTAACCTCCGGCGGATACTGGTTTCTGCACGCGTGGTTGGCTACAGTCTGGTTAAGAACTATGTCATGTACACTCTTAAAGAGGTCTTCAGGAGTTTCACTAGTGGTCGTCCAGGTGTCTTGCAACGAAGACGCACCCCTGAAATGGAACTGGAGTCCGTCGCCAATATCATTCGGGATTACCAGGAGGATGACTATTTAAATATTTTGCAGGATGAGCTTTGCCGTCTGCGTGATTGCCCCTTTGAACACCTGCGATCCGGCGTGATTCCGGATGAAGGATACCGTGTCATTAACGACCATTACGAAAATGCCATTCGACACCCCATCCGAGGTGTCTTCTTTGGAAACTTGCTGCGGCTGATGCTCATTTAGCTGACGTACCAGCAGCTGGAGGTGATGCCGGTTGTAAATTCCACCGACGAGGGTTTGAAAAGAAATGAGTTGAACTTCAAAATGCTGGCTACGGTGCCTGTATTTCCCGCGCCGAGTGGTGCCCCACTTGTATCGTTGCAGAACCGCTACATGAAGCCGCTTCCGGTAATCAATCAGATGCAACTTGACTGTCATTCTGTCCACCGCGCCGTGACAATTCCAGGGGATTTCCATGAGGAGAACCATCTCCCATGTTTAGGCGATACTACATTCTCGGAGCCGTCCGAAGGCAAAGGAGCAGTGGAGTTGAAGGAAGTTAGGAACGTCGGTAAGCTTAACAGCCACACTCAGGGGATATTGTTGTTGTTGACACACCACATGCGAAGGCTGGCGGTGGAATACCACGCGGGCTACCACTACCTTGAGGCGTTTCTGGGGGACCTAGATAATTTTGAAAGTGTGCGATCTGCAGGACACCAGCGCTTGCTCACACTTGACCGAATGCGGAGCGTCCATTACTTCCTCCAGTGATGAGCGGGCAAGAATGAGGGGTGAGACGCACCTTATGGCTATTAGTAGTGCTATTATTATTGTTTATATATATATCTTGGGCACGAGCCGGCTGTTGGAGGGTGAACGATCTTAGTTTCCGTTAAATCATTTTTTATTGGTTTTTCTTTAATACACATGAACAGATGGAATTTGGGACTAACAAGGGACTTTCACCTTTTCCCCACCCTCCACGACACCAACAACAACAACATACCGTTGAGTTCTACATTTTATATTTTTTGCTCTTTTCCCTTTCTTTCACTTTCTCTCTTTTGCAGAGCCAAAGCATAATTGGAAGATGCCGCCGCGTAAGGCGAAGAAGGCCACCAGCGCGAAATCAAACACTGCCGCTGCGGAGGTGGCGCGTGTAGCGAAGAAGGAAGCAGAATCTGCTGCGTTGGTGCAGTGGCTTGAACAGAACGATCCCCTTTATGACCGCTCGGGGGATCCACCCATCACTGTCAGCGAGTTGCTCTCGACGAAGCTATCTCATAATACATTTTCAGTAACGGGCAAGGGTGAAATGCCATACAACTGGGACAAGTTTCGGGGTCTCTTGGAGGCGAGAAAGTCTGACAGCCCACGCTGGTTCATGCAATTACGCGAGGAGGATCTTTTGGCTGACGATGGCTTCACCGGTGTGACTGTGGATTGCGTTGTTATTGCGGAAGCCAGTGTCCCTACCCTTGCCCCAGCACACTACATTGTGAAGATGCATATGCCCTTTAGTGACCTGGAGGACAATGCCCCAGAACGCATTTTGCCCATTGAAGGACAAGGCATGTGCTGGCGTCGTGTGGTGCGCGACAACGGATGCAATATTAACGCCTACTTGCTACAAAAACGAGGGACACCAAGTGGTGAAGCCCCTGTTTTTGGTTTTGGAGCTGCAGTCACAGCCGCGCCCTCCACGGCAACGGCGAATAGCACTTCCGTGACTAATTCCTCAAGTGGATTTGGTTTCGGTGCTACGCCCTCGTCAAGCAGCAATGGACCATCTAGCTTTGGTTTTGGGGCTGCTGCTGCATCAGTACCGACGAACACTACATCGACTGCGACACCTCCCAGCAGTTTCGGGTTTGGTTTTAGCGCTGCGGCACCAGCAAGTGTAAATGCCAGCAACTTTGGTTTTGGAGCCTCAACAAATGGAACCACATCCTTGGCTGCCCCCGTCGCTCCATTAGGTGGGTTTGGTTCACAGTCATCGCCAACAGTGACCCCATTAAAGACGAGCGAGGTGTTGTTTGCACTGTGGTCAAAGAAGCGTCTTTCTGAGATGACCAAGTCCCTTAAGTCGGGCAGCCGCGTTCTGAGAGAGGATTTTAAACCGAGTTCAAACGCCCCCACTATAAAGCTCGTGATGCAGAACGACCTCAAGGACGATGTTTGCAAGACTGTGAAACAGCTCATTTTAAACAAAATATTTGCCAAACGCTGTACGGATATTTTGGACGTTGACCATTGGATTGACAGCTGTCCCGTGTACGATGCACACTTGACTGCTGCATTGCAGAAGTTTCGTGCCCATCACGTGCAGAAAGTCGCAGAAAGCTCCGATGAGTTTGAGGTGTTATACGACGAGTGTCATAAATCGATGGAGGCGGAGTTGAATCGCATTGTGGAACTGCGCAAGGCGATGGTGCAGCAGGAGTTGGGGCGCATTGAGGAGATCATGACTCAGTTGAAGGAGGGAAAGTTGGCGGAGAAGCGGACATTCCGGCTCCTGAAATATTACGCTGCGAATGATGTCATGCGTTTTCGTCCCTTTGGAAAAGTAAGCGGCATTTCAGAGATGGGAGAGAGTGCGGACGTGTGCGAGCCGCCGGCGCCGGTCTTGGTGAACCCCTTTATGGCGCTACGGTCCGCTGCCTCCGCGTGATGCAGCAGGACGACAAGGGGGGCGGGGGTGAGGGACCGCGTGGGCAGCCCCATGGCGATAGCAGCCGGTGGGGAAGTTGGGATAGAGAGAGCGGGAAAGGAGGTGATATCGCAAGGTAAGTGGGGGGTCTCAACGAGTGGTAGACGTTCTTTCCCACTTCCTGGCCATCTAAAATCAATCGGCCAACGTGAGGAGGTCCATTGGGTGCAATAAGGGTATATTAAAACTTCAAAAACAGACGGATGATGGAAACACGCTGAAGGAGAAGGAAGAGGAGGCACGAAGGAGAAGTGGAGAAACCCCTCACTGCTCATTGCCTTTGTGAGAGACCCTTTTTCTTTGGATGCTTCTGTCGTCCCAACTTCTTGTCAACCTTACCTTCCCCCTTTTTTTTTCGTTAGTATTGGGTGCAGTCATGAGCCCCACGACATTTGAGGGGCCAGTGAAATCTGCGCGGGGGCGCACACGTCGTAAATATGCGCCTGTGTCCAAAACCTGTGCGCTGCAGCGGGGGTAAGCAGGGCAAGGGGGACACCCACGAAAGAAAGAGAAGGACGCCGAAGGATAAAAGTTAAGCGGAGCAGGAGAGAACAAGAGGGGGAAGAGAGGGGTGTTACTGCGAGTGAGAAGGATACAGCTAAATGAAACAACAAAAAAAAAGAAACTCATGGGGAGGGGAGTAACAAGCAACAACACATGGAGGTAAGTGTACGTGTGAATACATAAGTGCATTCAAGGCATGCCGTTGCTTGGTTAAATAAATAAAAAAGAAACGATGGTTTACCGACGAGAAGAACAAAAAAAAACGAAAACGAAACAAAGGTAGGACAAGAAGTCTTATTACGGGAGCTGTTGCTTGCGCATGTCTCTGATCTTCACTTTGTTTCAACGCATTGGGCGTATGGAAGAAGACTATATATATATGTATCTATTGGGCGTTTTACGCGCTACGAGATTTTGTTTTATTTTGACTCTTTTTTTGTTTTTGTTTTGTTTGTTTCAACCTCAGCTTTGTCTGTTGGGGGCAGCAGACAGCAATGGGGCAGAAGGAAAGCAAAGATGATAATACATTAAAAGACATCTGTGGTCTTCAAATTGGACGTGTCTTGCCAGGCAGCCCTGCTCACGTCGCGGGTTTAGTTCCTTTTTTCGATATTATCACTGCTGTTGACGATGCTTCTTTTTGCTGACGGCAAGGATGCCGTGACGGAGTTCAGGTCGCGTGTCTTACAGCGAGAAAATCAGCTGTTGACCTTGAAGGTATACAATTTGCGTGTGCGCGCCTACAGAGATGTGGTTTGCTCTCCCACCTCTTCTTGGGGTGGTACTGGGTTGTTGGGATGCATTATAGAGTGGTGCTGTGCGGCAGACTGCACCGAACGCAGCTGGCACATTGTAGACATTTTACCAGGGACTCCGGCAGCCCGCTGCGATGAAATTGAGGCGCAACGGGACTACATCATTGGCATGCAGCGACCAGAGGAGCCAGTTGTCGCGCTCATAAAGGATGAGGACGACTTCTACGGGAGGGTGGATGTGTGGCGCAGTCTTCAGCGAGTGGCGTTTGAGCGCCTGAATCGTAACTTGAAGAATTTTCCTGAAAGGGCTAACGGCGCAGCTGCAGCGAGTGCCAACCTTGGGAAGCTAATGCTTCTCATCTACGACTCTGCGGCGAATGAGGTCAAGGAGGTGGCGGTGGATTTGGGTTCCGACGTGGATGCGCCGTTGGGACTAAATCTGGCGTCTGGGCTGTTGCACTCGCTAACCGCCTTCTCAGCTGAGGAGCGCAAAAAGATCAACGGAGGTAGTGGTGACACGGACTGCAACGAGAGTAACAACAACGACAACCTTCCACTCATGACGACTTTCTTGTTACATTCGGGTAAAGTAGAGAGATGCTTGCCGACAGCGCAGTCACAAACACTTCCCACAATGAGTAAAGAGCGGGAACCCCATACCGAACCACAGGAGACCATGCCAACGCGACCACTACCGCTATCCCCTGCACCGCAGAAAAATTCGTATCCACTCGCTTCTCACAACTTTCCAATGCCTCCGTCTAAGCTGCTTGCGGAAAAAGGGGGGGATACGCAGGGGCGATATCCGTTTATGGCGCCGAATGCCATGAAAATGGAAAGCGATGTGCCTGCAGAAACAAACGTGGAAGTCGGTGTGTCAAGTGGTCTGACATTTCCTTCTTTGGGTCGCCCTACGATCCCAGTCATTTCACGGAGTCGTCCCCCATCTGTTATTCCTAACGATGCTGAAGGAATGCCCCACGCGCACGTGGGGCCAAAGAACATAGCAGCTCATGCGCCGCTACCAGTCATGACGCAAACGGAGGACAAACCACAGATGCAACAAGACGAACAACCACTATCGACAAACCTCAACAACGTGCTGTGCCGTGGACCTGTTGCTGACGTCGTTTCGGGAACTAATTTATCGCTTACTGCCAATGCAACAGTGCATCCGCCGTTACTGCCAGAGTTTCCCAAACTACCTCCACCGCTACATTTTCCAACCATACGGCCAGAAACACCTACAGGACAGGACTAATTCGGGAGTGGTGAAATGGAGAGATTTTTTTTATTTTGCTGGGCGTCTTCTCTTCGAACTCCTCCTCCCAACGAAGTAGTAGAGATCGAAAACGCGAATCGAAATCGACCGAAGTTGACGACTGAAACTGTGATTGAAGAAAAATGGATTTGAGGAAAAAATTGACGGCAAATGGTGTTCGTTTTATTTAGTTCGTGTTTTTTTTCTTTTTTACTTCTCTCTCTCTCTGTCTACTTCTGTATTCTTCCACTCCGTTTTCTACTAGTTGTTTTGTGGTTTTGCTTCATTCTGTCGCCGTTACCTCGGAATGGGTGTGTGGGTGGTGCCCCGCCGTTAACACGCTTTTTTCTGAACTTTGTTTTGTGAACTTCTCTTGACGGAACGCGACGCGTTTTTCCCTCTGACTACCTTCAGTTAAGCGACAAGGACACACACGCAGCGTTTCTAAAGCGGCAAGCTAATAAAGCAAACAAACAAAACAAAAAGACAAGGAATAAAGAAAAAAAAAAGGATTGGGGAGAAAAGCGGTCAAGCATGCGCCGTGTTTATAAACGACTCTGTCAGAATGCTCTCAGCCACAGCACCGCGTCAGGTCGCGCGGCTTTTGCTACGGCTATCGTTACGCTCTCCGCGGCTTGTAGCAATAACGGAGGCAACAATAAAATCTCTGCGGCGCTGACCACGCCCATGCGGTTTTGCTCTACCTCGAGTGACACGACAGCGAAAAAGCCTGTCGACATCACTGACGAAGACGTTGTTATTGATCCATCGCCTGCAGAAAAGGATGGGTCCACTGGCGTGGATGGGACTCCATCAGCATCAGCAAAGTCTAATGAAGATGCCGAGCATGTTGTTGGGGAATCGGAGGTAATGGGCTTTAAGACTGAGACACGTCAACTGCTGGACATTGTCGCCTGTAGTTTGTACACGGAGAAGGAGGTGTTTATTCGTGAGCTGGTGTCGAACGCCAGTGATGCTCTGGAGAAGCGTCATTTATTGGAGATCAGTAAGCCAGAGGAGTACCCACGAGAGGAGAGCGATGAGGCTCCTTTTATTGCTATTTCCTGCAACCAAAGCAAGAGTCGTTTTGTTATCCGTGACACTGGCGTCGGCATGACAAAAGAGGAACTTGCAGAGAATCTTGGTACCATCGCGGGTTCTGGATCCAAAGAATTTGTGCGACAGTTGCAGAGTGCTGCGTCTGGTGCTCAGGCAGCCGAAAAGATCATTGGCCAATTTGGTGTTGGCTTTTATGCCTCCTTCATGGTGGCGAAGTATGTGAAGGTCTACAGCCGTAGTGCGAAGAAGGGCAGCAAGGGCTATCTGTGGGAGTCGGATGGAACAGGTACATTTAAGATCACCGAGTGTGAGGGGGTGGACAAGGGGACTAAGATTGTTCTCGACGTCAAGGACACAGAAATTTCTTTTTGCACCCCTCAGGTATGTGAGCGTGTTCTGAAAAAGTACAGTAACTTTGTTTCATATGATATCACGCTTAACGGCGGGAAGGTAAATACGGTGGAGGCGCTTTGGATGAAGGAAAAAAATTCGATCACAAATGAAGAGCATATTGATTTTTACAAGTTTATCTCGGGCGCATACGACAGTCCCATGCTTCGTCTGCATTACGCCGTCGATGCCCCACTTTCCATCCGCGCCTTGCTGTACGTTCCACAGTCCCACACTGAGAAATACGGTGGTGGCCGTATGGAGAGTGGCGTCAACCTTTACAGCCGTCGGGTGCTCATTCAATCCAAGGCAAAGGGGCTACTTCCGGAGTGGATTCGCTTTATTAAGGGTGCGGTGGACTCGGAGTCCATTCCCCTCAACGTCTCACGTGAACACACACAAGATGGAAGCATGATGCGGCGTCTGTCGACGGTGCTCACCAAGCGCATCATTCGTTGGTTGGAGGAGGAGGCAAAGCAGGATCGACAAAAGTACGAGCGCTTCATCCAGGAGTATGGACCCTTCCTAAAGGAGGGCGTGTGCACGGATCAGGTGCATAAGATGGAGTTGGCAAAGCTATTGCGCTTTGAAACCACTAAGTCTGACATCGATTACCCTCTTGTATCTCTTGACGAGTACCGCGACCGCATGCTGGCAAATCAGACTCATATTTATTACATCAACGCCCCCTCAAAGGAGATGGCACTCCAATCGCCGTACTATGAGCAGTACAAGGAGCACGAGCTCGAGGTGCTTATCTGCACCGAGCCCATTGATGATTTTGTAATGCAGCATTTGGACACGTATGCAAAACACAAACTTCAAAACATTGAGATGTTCGACTCCTCCCTTGACGGAAGCGTGCAGCACAAGAAGAAGCTGGAAGGCGACAAGGAAGACGTGAAGGTTGAGAAGCAGTTGACAGATGCGCAGGTCAAGGCGCTAAGCGACTTCATAGCAAAGCGCCTGGTTGGTCGTGTAGGCGTTGTGAAATCTACAACCCGTCTGCGTGACAGTCCTGCTGTTATTGCTGATCACGAATCGGCGCAGATGAGGAAAATTTACCGCGTCACTGGGCAGATAGCGGGTCCTCCTCCGAAGTACAACCTTCAATTTAACCCGAAGCATTCTGTTGTGCGTAAGTTGTACACGCTGTCCATCTCGTCTGCTCCGGAGGAGGTGGAAACGGCTGGGTTGCTTGTGGAGCAAATCTTTGACAACGCAGTCATCTCTGCGGGACTGCTGGAAGACCCGCGCTCAATCGTCGCGCGCCTGAATAACATAATGGCCCGCATGGTTGAGAACGTGCCGGAGCCGACAGCGGACAAGTAATTTGGCCGTGAGGGCACACACGCACACACACCCGGGCTTGAACTCTGCAAGATAAGTTCAAGAAAGTCGTGGTGGTGCTATTGCTAGTGCTGTGTTTTCCATTTTTTTTGGGTTTTGTTTTCTTTTTCTCCCTTTCCACCTGTGACGACGCCGCTGACACTACTTACTAAAAGGAATGGGGGAAAAAAAGAAGAAAAAATGAAAAAAAAAAAACGATGATGCAGGAAGGCGGACAACTCAGCCGCGGAAACAAAGACAGATGGGCAACACACATGGTGCTACTCTTCACTGAAGAACACAAACACACGGAAAAAAAAAGGGACAGTATATTTATGTTTTTTAAATTATTATTATTATTATTATTATTACTAATCGCACCAACAATATTATTGTCACAATGCACAGCGTGAAACTTGTGGAAAGGGCGGGAGTTGGATGAAGTGGGACGATTGGAAATCGGAACCTTTGAAGGGGGCGTAGGCGACGTTGAGAGTAACGCATACGTGTGTACTACCACACTTTATCTACACCTGGGCCTTTGATCAGCAATCAAGGACGCCACCAAGTTCTTTTAATTTTGTGTTTCATTGTTGGATGTCGTCATGATCCTCCCCATTTGACTGTTAACGCAGTGCCTTCATCGATAAGGAAACCACTTTTAGATGATGTGTTTGCTGCTTTGCCCGTTCTCTATCATTTTTCATATTTACCGTGTTCACTACTGGACTCACACTCAGTGCAATGGTCACAATAATGTATTCTTTGTTTGTTTTGCTTTTGCTTTTTCTCCACCGCCCCGTTGCTGCAGGTGTAGTGTCAAATGGGTGGACATTCGAAGAAACATGGGAAGGGTGGTGGTGGTGGCGGCGCTGGTGGTGGGCGCTACCGGCCACCTGAGCAGAGAAAGAGGCTAACCAAGGATCCCGGGGTGCCGGACCTTAAGAAAGTGGCACACAAATTAACGCGTACCGCGCAGAATCGTAACCGCAGTGTTTTTAGCATTTCTGCTGTGCGTGGGACAGCCAACATTCTCTCCAATGTCGCCACGTTCGATTCGAAATCCGGTGAGCCTTCTCAAACTTCAGAGGAGCGCGTGGCTGCAGAGCGGCGTGCCATGAGAACACTTGCCCTTCAGTGCGCAGAAAAGGCGTACCACTATGAGGTGCCTCAGCAGTGGGTAGATGAAGCGGGAGGGGAAGATTGCATTTGCGATGACTTGGATCGACGGGGTGTGGACAAGTCTCTTCGGCGATTTTACAGAGAGTTTCAAAAAGTGGTTGAAAACAGCGATGTGCTTCTGCAGGTGGTGGATGCCCGCGACCCACTTGGGTGCCGTCTTACCCAGTTGGAAAAATCCATTCGTTCTCAGTTTGGAGATGAAAGGAAAAAGATGGTCGTGGTCCTTAACAAAGTAGATTTGTTGCCTTCAAAAGAAGTGGTGGACAGTTGGATAAACTTTTTCGAGTCGCACGAAGGTGTGGCATGCATTCCTTTTACAGCGACCGCAAAAGGCGCACTTGGCCACAGCTATGTTTCGAACATGTTTCGCCGCTTACGTGCATTGGCATTAAATGAAGAAACGGGGGCGCGGAAGTCTATTGTGGTGGGTGTGATCGGTTACCCAAACGTAGGGAAGAGTTCCATTATTAATGCTCTCAAGCAGAAGCACGTGGTGGGAGTTGGTAACACGCCAGGGTTTACAACAGGCACCACGGAGGTTGAGTTGCGCTCGGATATTCGTGTGATAGACTGCCCCGGTGTCGTGTCTCCCGGTGAGGATAACGGTGATGTGGTGCTGCGCAACGCCGTAAAGGTTAGCAACATCGCCGATCCCTTCACAGTTGTGCAACGACTTATTCAGCGTTGTATGCAGGTGGACACAGAGGATGAACACAGTCGACAGCTGCTTGCGGCAGGCATTCACCCCCTGGCCCTTTTTTATAATATTGGTACCTTTGACACGAATGACACCATTGAGTTTATACGCCTAGTCGGGCAACGACGAGGCAGACTACGTCAAGGAGGGGCGGTTGACGAGGAAGGCACCGCACGCATGATTTTGCAGGACTGGAACGACGGCCGCATTGCGTACTACACACTACCGCCCACCTCGGACCTCTTTGACCGTGCGACGCTGACAACAACGGCGGAGGAGGACACCGCGCAGCGCATCATGGTTGCAGCAGACGGATTGTGTGGCCCACAGGTGGTGGATTCCCTTGCAAGTGGCTTGCAGTGGGAGGGTCTGCCGACGTTTCATATTGCATGGGGTAGGCGGGAGGGGACCGGTTGTCGGCGCGCACGTTACGATAGCATAAACACCCCGGACTACGGCTGCAGTGAGGACGTGGAGCCGTAGTACCACGTTGGTCCATGCGGGCACTGTCCTGCAGAAGCGGCGGTTTCGGACTACAGTATTCGCTATGCCGTTGCTTTCGCTTTCTTTGAAGGAATAACAACAAAATACCGGTAAGCTGCGCCGTTTAACAAAACAAAAAGAAAAAGTAAAGCCATTATGGAGGCAAGAAGGAAACGAAACATGAGTGGAGGTGCGTTTTAAATGCGCGGCTTGCGCGGAGAGAGAACTTCCCCATTGCACACCCACCCACAAAAGAAGGAAAAATATATGCCTTTGAAGAAGAGGCGTTCCACTCACCATCCTCACACTCTTGCCGCAGCTTTGTGACTCCCCTGCCTTGTTTCTCGGACGAACTGATAAGGGTGCGAGCCGACACGCACAACTGCACTAGACAATTACAGAGTAGTGCCTTTAAAGTAAATCGAAAGTAAAAGAAGTAACTTGGAGAAATAAGAAAGAACCAGGGACACACACACACACACGTAAGCATTGACCGATGTTTCACGATTCAACACCAACCCCAGCTGCGAAGGTGCGGCGACATCAAAAGCAGCGCCCTGCAGTTCGCAGTCACTATAAACTGGACGAAGTTGCGGAGTTCATTCTTGCAGGGAACTCTGCCCCACCTGCCGAATCCGTGCCTTTTAAGCGTGTTGCGTTGCAATTCCCTGATGAATTACTTGAGGATGCCATCGCTGTGATGGAGAAACTGAAGGGCCTCTTGGCTGAGAAACTAGGCTGCGCAGAGGTTGCGGAGGTTTCTACCCAAGCAGTTAACGAAGACCGCGTAAAAGCGGAGGCGGTGGCAGTTAATGATAAAAAAATACGTCTTTTTGTGTTGGCTGATAACACCTTTGGGTCCTGCTGTCCGGATGAGATCACTGCACAGCACTACGGCGGCGAATGCATAATTCACTTTGGAGATGCATGCATGAGTCGATCTACACGTATTCCAGTGTTTTATGTGCAGGACAACTTTCGGTTTACCGCACTTGCAACATATCCGCAAGCGGAAGCGAGGGCGATTTCAGTGCGTATTCTGCTTTGTGCAGTGAGAATATTGCAGCGTCGCCTGAAGGGATTGTGTGATGTATTGGAGGAAAAAGGGATTTCGGCGGGTGTATCCTTGGTTGTTGTTGGGAATCATCGCTCACGGGGTCTGGTGGATGCTGCAGCACGTCATTGGTTGAGTGAGCCACAAACAGCAACGTCCACAGACTGTAACGTGTTAGTTGAGTGGGGCAACTTTGATTCTGTCGATGTGACGACCCACACACCTGATGCGTTTATGCCCTCATCTTTTGAAAGACCCTCATGGATTATTAACGGTGTGCGTTTCTCTCGTGCGGATCCAAGCGTGCTTCAACATTTCCTGTTTGTTGGTACCTCCAGTGCATTGTTTCCGCTCCATCTTCTTAATGTGCATCAGTACAACCTCTTTCATCACCCAGAAGAGTTGCGTGAGGTGGCGTTTGAAAGCGAGAACGCGCCTGCGCTGACAATACTCGATGAAAACTTTGGTTGTGGTGGTGAAGCAGGTCTGGCAGATGATGCAGTGGGCGGTGATGTTGATGATGGCATGCGGAAGATGGAAGCTGCGGTGGAGGCTCACTTTGACTCTAACAACAGCAAACTTGCTCCGATTCAAGCAACGTTAAGCAAACGGATGCGGCAACGCGCGTTTAACATGGAATTGATCCGCTGTAGTAGTGCTGTGGGAATTGTTGTGGCCTCCTTGGCGATTGAAGGTTACTACGAAACGACAATGCTGCTCTATCGGTTCCTACGTGCCCATGGAAAGCGGGCGTACATCATTTATGTTGGACATCTAAACAAATACAAAATTGCTAATTTTGTGGATACTGTGGATTGCTTTGTCTTGATTGCCTGCCCCAATAGCCGTGAAAGTCACTTTCCTACCAAGGAGGATGATTTTTCAAAACCGATTGTGTCCCCCATTGAGGTTATACTTGCCCTACGAATGGAAGACTGTGACTCACCACTCTTCGGTCATCCGGCCGTATACAGTACGACGTTTGACTCTGTTCTTCCACTGCTGCGCGAGGCCATGCAGGCGGTGGAGAATGCGCGTGCCGCAGGGGATACCTCCACCGTTGCGGTGCCAATGGAAGACGGGTGTGGTGCCGCCCTGATTCGTGCGTCTGCGGGGGTAGTTGCCACACAGGGCGCTAATGGGGCGTTGGCTCGTCTTCATGAGCGTACTTTCGTTGGATTGGACCCGAAAAATGGGCAAACGCCCGTACAGGACGAAATCCTTGAAGGACGTCATGGGATCGCACGTGGTTACACCACTGAAAGGAAGCAACAGGATGGGGAGTGGTAGTCACAGTTGGTGCACCCCTCCAAATGTACCTCGCCACTCATCGAATAAAATAGCCTGTCTTTGTCTAACACTAACACTTACAGGAACTCTTTTATTACGGTTCCTGATATTTATATATGTGTGGGTGTACATGAGGCTCAGCATCAGAATTCCTGTCACCGCTTTTTGTTGCCTTCCTGACTTGTTGGGGTTTCTAGGTATTGACTGCTATTTTGCTTACTTTGTTTGTTTATCCCTTTTTGTTTTTGAGGTCGTTAGACGGACCATTTCTCCGGTGAATGTCTTGTTTGCACTCGCGATGCCGCTCTTCTTGAAATTGGGACGACGGAGCTATACGGGAGTGACGGAGACATACAGCATTGGGCACTGCTTTGCCTGTCGTCGTTCTGTCCGGCGAGGCAGCCGGGAGGGGGGGGGGGCGCTATTGCCTGACAAATCTAACAACTGCATTGGGGAAGGTGAAACTGATTATTTTTCGTTCCGTGCTGCCGTGTTGTCTTTGTGGCACGCGCAGTTGTCAGTGCAGAAGCTCGCCTGTTGCCAAAAATGATAAGGCATGCAAGGAACCCTCGTGTCTTCTTCTTCCTGCTCTTGAGGGCCATGCACGCTTCGACAGTGTCCTCGAAGCAAGGCTGTTTAATTTGACCGAAGGTGTCACGCTTATTTTTGGCCGTTGCATGGCTGCCACGTAGTGTCTTTGACATTGAGGCTCAAACTGATGGGGTCGTAGTTGGAGGGTGACAATTCATCTGGACTGTAAATATGCCGAGTCATGGGTGCTGCTCTTTCTTTCTCGTGTCTTTTTTTTTTCAGCTTGATTTCTTTATGTTATTTTTGGTCTGTCTTTGTTTTGTTTTCTTCCGCGGCTTATTTTTTCCTGCTACCCCTGGCGCTGCGTGGCTCCGTCTGTTTTCAATCAACACGTCTTTCCTTTGTTGCCTCCGACGGTGCCATGGCTGCGTACGATGATTACGACTCACTTCACATGCCTCTTCGCAAACTCTCCTTGGGTATCACTCTGCGTGAGTTCGTATTGGGTGAATTGCTGCAGAGAAGCTTCTACTTTCCTCGTTCCGGGGGAGAAGAGAGAAAAACAAAAACAAAAATATCATACTGAAGGTAGGATTGTCCCCCATGCTGAATGACACGTGGGTGCTGGCGGACCTTGATGGAACACTTCTCACTACCCCGCACAAGGCAAATGGACAATACCAATCACTGGATAAAAGCCCATGCTTCCACGTCATCAGGCGGTGGCTTCTCAATGGAGGCAACCTATGCATTGTGACGACAGCTGACAAGCGCGTCTTTGATCAGGTGTATGTTCCTCTTCACTCTATTCTAAAGGATGCTGATGGTCGGAATGGCAGTGGAGAGTTATTAATAAGTCTTTACACTGGTGCGCTGCTGTACCGTTGCACAGCAAATGGTGTGGAGGTAGTTCGCGAGTACACCAGGGCAGCACACTGCGTCAAGCATGAGACGGTGAAGTTTGCTCAATTGTACGGCCTGCCACTGAGCCATTTATCCGTGCCGGAGGTTGGTCTTGATGGCACGACCAGACCGGTGGTGACGGCGTGCATGCAGGGAACATGTTTCTCCATGGATACATGTCGCGCTCTGCTAGCGCAGCTGGAGGAAATCTTTATTACTCTTGCGGAAAAGACGTTAGGAGGTGACTCTGTTTTTCTTGCGGCGCTTGCTTGCTTATCGGCGCGCTATAAAGAGATGTGGCGTTTGCTGCTAGGCTACCTCGAGGCACAGTACCGAAGTCACGGGCTGCCGCCAGCGAGTGCGGTCGAAGTTGTGGCGTGGAAGTGTGATTTTCTGCGGAGACGACGGCGGTTACTTACGGATTTAGGCATTATTCGTATTGAGTTTGCGGAATCATCGGCAATAACGTTGGCAGAAATGGAATGTAACGCGAGTGATGAGAAAATGCAGCTAACATTGGCGTCTGTGTTGCGATTCCGCGACGACGACTCTGAGGGCTCGCGCACGTTTTTGAAGAAGATGACACTCCTGCTTGCTCCTGGGGCGCGGCATTCCCACGGTGACTACGCTCAATGTTGTGGTCGCAGTCCGCAAAGAAATGGTGATGTGGCGCAGGTGATTTTTCTTGGTCTTCCTATTCGACTTTTCACGCGCCTCTTTCAATCCCACCTTGAGGCCTTCGCCTGTCTCGGAGTGACGGCGATAGCACAGCCAAACAGTGTTGTTTTTTCAAAGATAGGCGTGTCCAAGTCTACGGTTATTCGCTACCTTCTCAATCAACCGCGCATTAATGGCCATGATGAATGCCCGCGACGGAAACACAGCGACAATGGCATTGTCGCTGTGTGGAGTGGTGAACATCGCGAGAGCTGTTGCACTCGGCGACAATCCCCACACTGTAGATTACGAGTTAACTGTTTTCCCACAGTTGCCGTTTGTTTCTGTGGAAATAGCTGCAAAACGGCGTCGGCGTCATGCGCGTATTTGTGAATTGGGGGTGGTGCAAGAAACTGCACGGCCGGGTTTATTGATGGATGATCGTCTGTTAAAAAATTTGCATTACGTGGGCGGAGAGGAGGAGGGTAGTGCCGTGTTTCTTACGGAGCTGATGGACCGGCTGCAGGTTCCATCGCTAGGGCGAGCCAGGTGTGAGGCGCCCACAGCATCTGTAGAAACGACAGCTTTTGCGTCGACCGTGGCTAAGGCTGCCACGGCGTCATTCACCAAAGTGTGTGGTTTTTCCTCCCTTTTGTAGTCTGTTTACAAACACACACACACACAAACGAAAAAAGAAAGCATTCAAATGTGTGTACCGTTTTTTTTTGTTGGGATGCACTTATTATGGCAGGGGCGATACGACGAAGGAGCTGCGTGTAAGTAAAAGGGCATGCAATAAAATACCAATGTCTTCGCTTATAAATGCGGAAGCTGTTTTTATGATTTCTATTGCGCCTTTATGATGGCTTGTATGTTTCCCTTTACAAATATTTCATTATATTTACCTTATTATTATTATTTTTTTTTTTTGCTACGTCCCATGGCGTCCTTTACCTGCATCGTTCTTAGCTTGAAGGGGGATGAATGCGCACCTGCTGTGTCTGTGTGGAAGAAGTAGAGAGGAAAAAAAGGATGGGAAAGAAGGAGGCAGGGAGAGGTGAAGCGGTGAGTAATGTTAAGTGCAAGCACAAGCAAAACCATTGTAACAATAATTGTTGCAAAATTAATGTTGGCTAGAGGAAGAAATTAACACAGAAGAGTGTCTCGTGAGAAGGTGAACGCACTCATATATGCAAACTGCTTTTGTTGCTATATATATATATATATATATATATATATTATTTTTTGTATGCGCGGGGTGAGAAGGATGTACAAGGGTGAAAGCCGCACGCATAGCGGCGGCGCAAATGAAGAGACATGAACTGTGGGCACCGTCTGAGTGTTTGTCGCATTTATTCCCCGTGTTGTTGCTGTTGTTGTTTTGCATGGTACTTAAATTCAGGTCCGTCCATCTGTAGACAAGTAGCCGTTGGCTTTTTGGGTGTGGCGCGTTTTTTTATTATTTTTTATTGCATGTAGGAAATGCTGTAGGTGAGGGAATTGTACGCCGTCGTTTCCTCTTACCCGTGCGTATGACGACGTGGAGGAGGGGGGAAGAAAAATGAAGAAAAAAAAAGAACGCTGCGAATGCGTGCATCTTCTATCTAATGTTGTTATGTAATGAGACACGTGGGATTTTTGTCTTTGCCTTTTTCTAACCGACCTCGTGGGTGCATAGATAACACAAGCTTATTTGTCAGGAGAAGAGCAAGTAGGGAGCCACAGGGAGAAGCAAGAGACAAGCAAAATCAAAACTAACGCCGAAAAAGGTAAAACAAGAGAATCTACAAAAAGCGAAGTCCCACACTGCGTGAGACTGCCATACATACTTGTGTTTACTTGAACACGCGTTTTTTTTTTTTACTTCAAATCACAAAGCGCAGATGTCAACGGATCCAGTTGCCCGTCTTGAGGAGCTGGAGACTGAACTCCGTACCCGCAAAGAGGCGCTTTCCTCGCGCATTCAATCTCTTTTGAACGAGTCAGGCGACAGCGAGCTGCCTCAACTGCATGTGCTACGCGAGGATCGGGTGAGACTGATGGAGGAGATTCAGCACAACAAGGATGAGGGAGACGCCTTGTTGCTGCAGGGCGAGGGGAATGGAAAGGCCGCTTTGTTGTACCGCGTTGCTGCCCGTGTGCAGCGCTTTGAGGAATTCGTCGGTCGTGCAGAAGATTACGTGAAGGCTGTTCTCCCAGAGGAAATTGAGCGTATCGCGGAATCCGATAAGCTGCACTCCGAAGACGAGGTGGCTGCCTACATCAATGAGCTGCAGGTGAAGCGCGAAGAAGAGCTAAGGAAAATTGCCTTGCTGAAGGAGCGGACAGCGAAGCGGGCGCAGGACATGCGCAATGGTCCACGCGTTGAGCACGGAGAACTGAATGCCTACAGCCGTGTGGCAAAGGCCAAAGAAGAGGAACTTGACAAGGAGACCAAAGAAATGCAGGAATACACCGATGCGGCGAAGATAAAAAAGAGTGTGCTGCTTGCGAAAATCAAGGAATTGCGCCAGGCAAAGTCCAAGCTTCAGGTGGAGTTATTGGATAATAAGCATAAGAATGAAAAGATTGTAAATGATATAAAGATCCGCATCCGTCATGCGGAGCTCTCCAACACACGCGATATTCGTGTATGCCAGCAGCTGAACACTGGCAATGCTGCGCTCACGACCAACGCACAAACCCTGCTTGGGCAGTTGAACGTGGAACACTACGGCATTGAGGGTGCACCGTCAGATCATGCACTGCTCACGATGCGTAAGGAGGAGAAGAAAAGGGCATTGGCCGCAGTAGCGAGCAACCACAACAATAACAACGGCTCCTCTCAGGCGGCCGATGGTGAAGTTGACGTCAACTCGAAGGGAGCCTACAAGCGCCACAGCACGCAGAACTCTAACGGATCTAAGCCCCCAATGGCTGCATTCAAGCGGACAGAGTCGCAGCGCAACCGTGAGGCTGCTGTACTGTCCAGCATGAGCCAGCGCCGCGAGGGAGGAAGTTCGGCCCCACACAGTCGAACCTTTTCAAAGCAAATGTCGCAGGGGTCTGAGCCCTCACACCCACGAGGGGGCTCCCTGCACTCCGAGAACTCGAAGAATTGTCGGAACAGCCGTGACGGTTCGCAGGGTTCAGGCGCTCGCTAGAGTGGGGATGTATGGAGAGCGGGGCTGCAGCGGCAAACCGTAGTGGTGGCGAAGGGGAAAAAAAAAAACGAATTTGAAGAGGCTAACAAGAAGGGGAAGAAACAAAGAAAAACAGACTGAGGTGGCTATGCACAAAACCCAAAAAAAAAAACGGAAAAAAAAAGATAACCACAACAAAGGCAGAGAGAGGGTTAGGGGAGGAAGGAAGGAGGAAGAAAAAAGCGACAAAGGGGGAAGGGGACAAGGCATTACAACGGCAACAAGGACACAAATTGGGAAGAGGATAGCAGGCTGGGAGGATGTTATAAAGCGCTTCTTCGTTGGACCCCCACCCACCAATTGAAACCCAACAACACGAACGAGGGTAAAAAGAACGGAGCGCACGGTTCTAGGCTTGTCCCTTATTTTCTCTGTTGCGCGGTGTAATTGCAGGAAATCTTCCTGTTTTTCGCGTTTTTTCCACCTCCCTTCGGGTGATATATATATATATTTTTGTTGACTATTATTTAGTATTTCTCCTTCGATATGTTTGGATAGCAACTGGATCCTGTAATGTTTCTTTTGATAGCGCATAACTTTACCGCCGTCTCTCCACCCCCACCACCACATCCACGTTTATGCACAGTGACTTTCGCAACACGGAAAAAGCGCATGTGCGCTTTTCTCTTTTTCAAGTGTGGCGCATTTTTTTTGTTTTTGTTCTTCCTCCCGGCATGTCTCCCCTTCCTTTTTTGCTTATTTTCCTTGCGGAGAGTAGCTGAGGACATTTTCGCATATATGCCGAACGACAAAAGATAAATGCGAGAACGGGAGACTGGAAGAAGAGGAGGGGGAAGTGGGTACGAGTCATTGACATGAGGAGGAGCAAAACTAAGGAGAAGGGGAGAAAGGAAAGGCAAAAAATGTGTACGTGTGCGGCTCTCTGGGTTATGTATTTCCGGCCACCCAGCTCCACTGATTACGGTCATGACTGTTGGGTTCGCGTCAATTCCTCCTGTTACTCTCGTTTCGCCAAGAGAATGCAATTAACATAACAAGAGGTGCTTACAACGTTTCTTTTTTTTTTTCTTATTGTTAAATGTCTTTTATTTTTGTTTTGTGTGTGCCACTTTTTGAAGGGGGTGGTACATGCGCATGGTAGGAAGAAGGGAACTCGCTTAGCTCCCGCCTTAATGATCATCACCGAGGCTGTTTTTGCGTGCTTCCGTGAGTGGCATCACGATGTTGTGGCCAGTGCGTTTTTTGCAGACAATGAGGACGTGTTGTTTCTCCTTTCATCTATGAACGTTGTGCCAGGAGCTGTGAGGGCGCAGGAGTCCGGTGAGTCCACCACGGTGCTTGCGGTGCATACGCGCTGTTGTCAAGGCTCTCGACTTTTTTCAGAGCCGGAGCGTCTGCAGCTTTTGCAATTACTGCAATCACCGTTGCTTATTCAGGAAGACAATGAAATCTTTCTCGTAGGCAACAGCAAAAACATGGATGAATCCCAAACGGAGGATTTCTCAGAACCAGATGGGAGGAGCATCATCAATCGACTACTGCGCGAGCTTCACTTGTCATCCTGCTGGTGGCGTCAGGGGGAGTTTGTGCGACACATGCTAAATGCACCGCGCTTCTCCCCGACCAACAATTCTATGATTTCTCACCGCTGTGCCGCCGTTCTGTTGACAGATGCCACCTCCGCCTCCCCACAAGGGACGAGTCTCGCACTCACGCCTGGGGGTGGGTCTAACGCCGTGAAGCTATTACTCCCAAGAGGGTCGCCACCGTCGTTTATTCGCAGTGCACTGGTTTTGCCTCTAGTGGAGTGCCTGCGTACACGGATGGCACAGACATCAAGTCGTTTAAGAAGCAGCGCACCGATGAATCTACTGCGTGTTATTTTTGCCTTAAAGCGTGCGCGTTCCTCCGAAGAGGAAAACGGGGACAGTGGTGACGAAAGTGAGGACCTTGTGCTGTCTCTCTCTCTCTTACTCGCCCTCCTCGGCTACACTTTGTCGCGGGGAGTGTCACAGAACACATGTGAATTGGCTGTAAATCCTAACTCGTGGGAACAACTCTGTGTGGATATGCGATGTCATTTCTGTGGTGGGAGACCGCAGCTAACTCTTGAAAAGATGGTGGCTGACGAGTATCAAGAGCCACTGCCACCACGGGAGCAAAACACTGAAGGGGAGGAAGTTACGGAGGGGGACGAAAAGACAAGCAGTGAGAAGGGGAAAATTGTATTGCTTACGGACTCAGCTGCTCAGCATGGATCAGGAGAGGCGATGAGCTTAAATTGCCCCACACAAGTATCGGAGAAAGCGACAGCACAACTGCCGGTTATTGAAAATGAGCATGGAAATGTGTTGGCGCATGTTGCTCCTCTATGTATCGAGGACGCAGCCACAACGTCTTCTTCGGTCCGATTCCATCACACGATTCACTTGAGTGAGCAAGAGAAAATCTCTGGTCACCATCGTTCCTGCCCTTGGAAGGCATTGTTTCTTCGGTCTGTTCTTGCAGACGTCATTCCCTCCACTCCCTCGAAAGAGATACTTTTTGAGCTCTACAACGCCACAGGTGAAGGAGGATCTCTGCGGATATGTTTCAAACTTTCGGAGGTGGCAAAGTTGATGGAATGCTGGAGACGCAGTTTGTATGCCGAGTCTGTTTGGAGGGAGAACTACATCAAACATCCACTGCCGGTGGTGTTGCCATCACTGATTCCATCTTCTGCCGGTTCAGAGACGGAGGCATTTCTGGCGGAGTTGGCATCCCGTAGCGCAGGGGATGAGGGCCTTAAACTTGGACCCCTCATACCTCTCTTTGATGACCGCAGCCCCTGGGATAGTTACTTTCGTGTGGCCTCCTTCTTGAAGGCTTCTACTTCGGTGGATAACGGGGAAGGTGAGGGACGCGCGATGGATGCGGCGGAGAGTAACAAGCCTCCCAAGGTGGAGGGAGGAGGACACTGGAAGGCGGTCTACGATATGGGGCGTCGCTACATCTTAGCAGCGGCGGACGAAACAAATCAAGAAACGGGTGTGGAGTTGTTGGCGAAATTCAAAGAACAGTACCAGAATAATGTGCAGCAAGGCGCAACAGGAGGCCATGCATCTTCGCCGCTTCAAGGAGTGATGTGTAAGCTGTTTCACTTACTTCGTGAAGCACTGAATATTGACTCACCTCATGGCAGAAAAGCTATTCTGGAAGGATCATCAGAGGGACAACAAATACCTGTGCAGGAGCAAAAACGTGTTCACTCATTTTTAGATGCACTTGACGACGTGGTGGAAAGGGTTACACAAGAGACTCTCTTGACGCAAACTGAGGATCAAGTCAAACACCCTGCTTCATTCCACGGCAATAGCAATGAGAGCACCCCGAAAAAAGAAGGAGTCAGCAGGGCTCAGCACAAGCAACAAAAGCAACACCAGCAATATAAGCAACACCAACACCAACAACAACAACAACGCCAACACCATAAACAGCAACAGCAGAAGCAGAAGCAGCAACTTTGTCAGCAAGGCCTGCAGCAGCCTTGGACACAGCAAATACTTTTACCACCTTCTTCAGCACCAGAAGGCGTTTTCCCTTTCTCTGCCATGGGGCCTGGAGGTGGTGTTCTACCAACACCAAGACCAATCTTGCAACAGCCACAGCCGCCGCCGTTTCAACCAGCTGTGCTTGGTGGAGAATCTATGTGGGCTATGGACAACACGTACATGCAACGACCTTCTGTCATGGGGCAATCTCGAGCGCCGGTTACCAACCCTGCTCTAGAGCGGAAAGGTGGGCGCGGTGGGAATCATCGTGGTGGGCGGAGTGGTGGGCGCGGTGGCCGAGGAGGTGGAAACGCATTTAGGGGGTGAAGTTGCGGTTTTTTTTTCTTTTTGTGGCAACCAAAAAGTGAGATAATGATGAAGAAAAGGAAAAGAAACTGTTCACATTAGGAGGAGGTGAAAACAGGAACAGAAAGGACGAACAGATGAGCACTGTGTATTCTCTCTCTGTCTGTAACGATGTTGTAAGGACCACGGCGAGAAACTAGCTTCCTGCTGGGATGGAGCCCTTTCCACGGGTACTTCAATTAATGCGCAAATATTATGCGTGGGTATGGGTGTTACTTTTCGTTACACGCGCAAACTCGCGCTCTCTTTCTTTCTTTCTCTCTCTCTGTGGGTGTCTCGTTCTCTATTTTGATATTATTTTATTTCTTGTTTGGTTTTTTTTTCTCGAAATGAGTTGTTTATTAGGAATTTCGTGCCTCTCTACCTCTTAGGTACAGACGGAGAGCAAAAGCTGAGGCGAGGGAGGGATCAACGAAGGAGAATCGAAAACAGAAGCTGCAGCGTCAACATCAGAGAATAAAACGAAGAAAAAAGCAAAAAAAAAAAGAAACGGGGAAAAAATCACATAAAAAGGGGCGGCTCACGGAAAGCAGGTGTGTGCTGTCTCTCTCTCTCTCTCTCACTCCCTCTTAATTGTACCTCTATTCATGTCATTTCCCATTGAAATGATCGAGCCCAGTCAGGATTGCGCCTCGGTGCTGGCGCTGACCTCACAGCAGGTGGAGGAGGAGATGAAAGTGGTGTCTTTGTTGCGGCAGGAACTTCGTAACAGTCACGAGGACTACGACGGAACGGCTTCAGTGGGGCCTCCCTTTGAGCCGGATCATCGCACGGTAGATGCAAAAGTGCTACGTACGCTGAAGTGTTCAAGTTACCCCTTTATTGTCTGCGAAGAGGCACCCGCGTCGTATGAGGCTCAGGTACCGTATCACTTGGAAGCTGTTGTTGAGAAATTAGAAGAGGACCTCCGGAATTTGGATGAATATTTGCAGAGTGAGAAGGCACTACATAAAGAGTTCACTGGACGGTCGTGTTCCACATCATCCTCGGATGGCTTCCACAGCAGAGATGGATCCGGGGGGTTTCAACAAAACGAACAAATTCAAACACGGAATTCGGATGCGATGCAGCTCTTTACAGAGGTGATGGGGAGAGATGCGTGCTTTGCGGATGTATCCAGAGAAGTTTCCATAGTGCGATGGTACACACGCTGGGTTGTCTCTCATTCCCTCCACTCCCTGGAAGAGGCATTGGAGCAAATAGAGTATGTACTATCAGAAGGGGAGTTAACCACGGAGAGTGAGTTATTGGAAGCCATGCATGAATTTTGCTTTGTTGAGGCTGTCAGCACACTCGAGCATGATCGTCGTGAGGTGATTGAGGCAGAGCGACGCCGAATGCATTCTTGCAGTCGAGCATTTCGAGAACATCTTTCACCGCTCGCTATTACCGCTGCCACCAGCTCATTTCTTACTCCAGAGGAAAAGTACATATATCAGGGATACCACAATCAATCGGAGCATGCGATGATGATGCTTCACCACGGTTTGCATGTGAACTTTGTATCAAAGGCCTGTGATTCATCCCTTTTGTTTTCAGGGGAATTCTGTCTATCGAGTCTTGCAACGAGGTCAGGTTCATTTTACATGCGGGATGTTGGAGATTTGGATGAAGTTCGAATTTTGTCAGATACCGCTATGAGGGCATTGCACGAGGAACGTGATGTCATTACGAGTCTCCTTCAGAAAATACAGGAGCGACAGGAGACTGGTGTAATGCTACGGACAAAACATGAAAAGCATCGAAGGAGTCGTTTAGCTGCAATGTTAGTCTATAAGTGTTTGGTAGATGATATCGTTATGCTTCAATCACAGGCATGTCGAGCTAGGGACTTTCTCTTGAAATATGATAATTGGATTTTGCGTCACTGTGGCACGAGCCATCAAGCGATGGTAAAACGTCTGGGAACTTCTTCAAATAATGCGGATGTGCCTACGAGGTTAATGGGTCGTAAGACGCCACAGCGTACATCAGTATCTCCCACACGTGAGAGGTCTATGCTGCTTTTATGCCCCTCACTAGCTGGTCAACTCCCACGTCATATTGAGGAAGTCTGTGATTCCCTTATGTCTCTGCTGAAGCTTTCCAGGCGATCGCTTGGTGCTGGCACCTCAACTGGGGTTTGTGAAACCGTTTACCGACACTGGATGTGTCTGTCGCTTCGCTACACATGTGTGCAGATTGTGTGTGGGAAGTGGCCTGGTGATCTTCTTCTTGATGGCATGGATGACATTGCAACCAACTTGATTCGACTTGTGTCGGACTCCATGTCTAGTCTTGGTGCAGTGCAATCTCACGTAACCGAACTGTATGTGGTACTTCGGTGTTTTCTTGGCCTTGTAGCGAATGGGACGACGAGGCGGCAAACGCAGCGAGAGTTCTTGCGAACAGCAAACGGGTCTGCTACGGCTCTGGCCGCTGCTGCTCCTTCTAGTAGAAGCACCAAGACAGGAGCGAGGCGCAGTTTTGACATCCCTGTCACCTTTTCCTTGGACAGGGATGTCTTCTCCATGAGGCGGGATATAAATGTAAGTGATGACGATGACAACAACATCTGGGGTGTTCTTTTTGACGCCCTTTGGTTTCAGGCGGACCCGTCAGGCTGCGCGCACGGCGGGTTTCTTTGCAATGATTTTGGTGCAGCTGCAGACAAGGACTTCTCCTTTCTTTGTCTGGAGGGCATAACACTTCCCGATCGGTTGCCTAAAACCGCAAACGGCCACGGACGATCTCAGAAATTACATATGAGCCTTCATTATGCCATTCTTCCAGTAGAGGCTTCACCTGCGCTCTCTTTGGCACAAGTAATGAGGGAAGATGCGACGGCTATGGCATCGACTTCTGTTGTGGCGCGTTACAGCTACATTCGACGCATGTTGCACGTTCTTTTTATATTGGAGGACCGCCATCTGCTGCAGGATTATGCTTGTCGCGGAGAGGAGGTTGATTTGGTGCCGCTTGAAAACACCGTGTTCTTTTTGCGTAAACGAGAGGAGAGAAAAATATCAAATGAGAGGATGAATCATTCTGGCGTCTCCTTATTGCGAAACGGTGATGGTGCACCTATCACACGCAAGTGTACGACTCTTGTGGGCATCTTGCCTCCTGCAGCGGTGCAACTCGCGCGGTACAACGCTATTCCCACTGGAACGGAATATCCTGTTCCCTGTGGCGAAGCGCCCTCAATTGCCACTCTTAATCTGTTGATTGGGAGTATGCTGAAGAAGATTGCCTTATGCCGGTCACCCCTGCTGGATGATATGTACAAAATGGGGGACAAATTATACAATCAGGGCATCGAGGCTGCTGAGGAGAGCGGCTTCAATTGTAGGGGCCAGGGAAAAGCGCTAGTTTCACCCTTGCTGCGATCCCTTGATGACTACATCTTCAGCCCGGACTTTGATACACTGGTGAAGGAAGCAGACGATGAGATGCGTCGACAGAATGCAAAACAGCTTGTACTTCGCTAGCGTTGGTATCGGTGTCATTTCCGATTTTCTTTTGTGATTCTATTGTTTTGTTGTATTATATTGTTCCTCCAACGTGCTTTGTTTCGACCGTGTGATGTGTGGAGAGGGGATGGGTGGGCCAAGCGCCGCTGCTGGGACGTGCAAAAGTTTGAGGCAGGCCATGGAGGGAAGACTGACGTGGCATTTCTTTTTCATTGCCAATAATTTTCTTCCTTAGTACTTCTTTGCTTGCACAACATAGTTTATTGTTTTTTTTTGTTTTCCATCAACTTGGTTTTCAGCTGTCGCGTTTTGTGTTCTTGTATTTGTATGTGTGTGTGTTGTTGTTGTTTTGCGTTCCTTCATGCGTTATTATTTTCCGTCATTATTTGGAGAGAGGCGGGACCTAACGGTCAGTCACAAACGAGTAGTAGCGTGAAACACTTTTTGTAGGGCGCCCAATTTTTCTCCCTCCCCCTCATTCACTCATTAGGTAGAGAGATGGAAGACAAGAAAGCGTCTGCGTTTGTGTGTGTGTGTGTGTGTGTGTGTGAACGAGCGTGGTGAGGCACTCTGCATGCTGCATTCTGGAAAGTAAAAGGCTGCGTCACCTACAGTTGTGGCAAAAGAAGGCATCCTCAACAGGTGTGCATCGTCTTATTCCTTTTGTCGTTTTGTCTTTTCTGCCATTCTTTTCTCCACTGGCAAGGCTGGTTTGCGCCTTGGCGCAGCCGTTTCTTTCAACTGGCTCGCTCCTCCCGCCCAAGTGACCATTTCATTGTGATGAATGACCAAGAAGAGGGGGAGTTATGATTTAAAAACAGGAAAAAAAAACGGTGGGGGTTAGCTGCAACTGAAACAAGGTGAAACTAATAGTCCATGACGGGAGTGTATGTGGAGTGGAAGCCGATGATGATGGAAGAAGGATGGCATCTTTGCATTTGGTGTCCTTTCCATTTTTGCATCTCTTTTCCATTTGTTTTGCCGTCCACCCCCCTCCCACACACACACACTACCCTTTTTTTTTGTTTACGAGTGCCTTTGTCTTTATGTTTGTATCTTGCTTTGCATAGGCGTGGCTTGCATAGTTGATGTTTCGTGAATTCGGTCTGCCGTCGCCTCGCCACTGCTGGTGGGTGGAGACACAGGAATAACGACGACGCACCAATGTACGAGTAGCTCTGCAGACGCCCAACGCACCGTCTGCCGTATTATCTTATTGTCTTCTTTTTGTTTGTTGCTTCCGTTGTAGCTGTTCTTTCCTTGTCTCTTTTTTCCTATTTTGTTTATTCTGGTTGTTTCGCCAGTGGGGGGGAAAAAAAGGTGGAGCGCGGGCGTGAGTCTCTGCTGCGCGGAGGAGAAGAATGAATGGGCGAGGGTGATAAATATTGGGGAAAACACGTGAATAATAACGCAACTCAAAGCCGGAATACAAGAATAATATACGAGAACAAACCACACCTTTCCATTTATGTCCTTCCTGCTTTACTGTACGCTTTCGGGAGCGGAGTTTTCAGCATCTTAGGGGCACATTCATGTTTACTACACTCAGCCCCTCCACATACACGCATGGTGAGGAGTGGAATAAGGGCAGCCCATTTTTACATGTTTGATTGTGTGCATGTTTGCGTGTCTTGTGAAACTGGTATGTATTCGCTCCTCATACATGCTGAAGGGTATTAACATCTTCAATATTCTTCTGGATGACCGTGATCAATCTTCTGATTTAGCCAGTGCTTTGGATTCCCAACAAATATTATGTTAGTAGGAAAGCTACAAAGGAAAGTCTCTCATAGATATTATTTACTATTGGTGTAAATTTCCAAAGATGGTAGCAAGGGAAGGGGCGAGAGCCGAACAAGTGCTTAAGGTCCTGTGTGGTGTTTCATGGGTGGTAGTGGGCGGTTACGGAGTCGCCTTGTGTTACCGTTTTGGGGTATTCAGAAAGATCCTTCCAAAATCCACTGCAACTGCCATTGAAGGCGTGGTTGAAAAGATAAAAGCGAAAACAGAACCCCTTGGAGACGCTCGGCGCTACGTCATTGCGCGTCGTCATCTCATACATGTGTATTCGCTATCATCGTTGGGAATAGTGTTTGCAGCCATGGGTGGGACCACCTTTTTTGTGTTTCCAAAAGTTCCAATTGCTATTCCGATAGCGTTTGCTTTGTTGCCCTCCACACTGCTTCTCTTTCTACCAAAAACCATGATGCTTCACATGGGGCGCGTCGCTTCCTTGCTTACATCTTGTTTTGCGTTTGGATATTCCTTTGGGCCGATTGGATGGGTCGTGTGGGATTCTCTTGATGCATTTCTCACGGTGATGGTGAGTACAATGGCTGGTCTCTGCGTGCCGTTGTTTCTGACGCGTGGAATGATTAGTTTTGTCTTGAGCTCTCAATTGCTTTCATGCACACTCTCCTTGGCTGCCGTAACCACACCACTGCTGTTTGAGATTGGGGCGAGCTCTTCTGCTTCATCTCCCGTGCCGTTTCCGGTAACCAACTTGCCACCCGGCAGTAATCTGGAGATGCTGCGTCGTGCCGACGTGAATGTTCTACTTTCACTTCAACTTCTCTCTAATTTGGGGATTAATCTTCTGCATACACTACCTACCATTGTTTACTTTGTGCGATGGAGAGGGAGTGAGGAAGAGCTCTTGGATTCTGTTGACCCTTTGAAGGAAAGCATGTGCATCTGCGCCGGCGCAGCATATGTACTGTGGAGGAGTTTTTCCTGGGCATGCCGTCGACTTGTTCTTACTGTTGCCAAAGATGACACGAAAGACACTTCAAGGGAACTTCAGAAGCAGCGTGGGCACTTTGCAAACCTGTCTTTTTACACGCAACACGTAAGCGGTGTAGGAGCATCTTTGCTCCTTTTTCTGTGGTACGTTCGGGCAGTTTCGGCACTGCAACGCGGGGAAACGGTGGCGACACTTGAGATGCTTCGACGCGTGTGTGCGCAGGTGTCTCCTGTTAGCTTAATTATAAGAAACATGTGAGTATCCCCTTGTAACTGATGGATGCTGCCAACAGATGTGTCAAAAGTACATGACGAGATGCGTTGAGTGCAGTGGTGGCTGTACCTAGTTTTGTTATTGTTCTTGCTTGCTTCTTGGTGGTGGTGGTGGTGTGCATGGGGGAAAATACAAGGAGTTCAATCAAGGTCTGTTTTTTTGTTTTTTTTTCTGTCGGTGTCTGTTGTGGTCGCTCCAAGGCATGTTGACGAAATAATGTTTGACATTGCGCACCTATGAATGGAGTAAACCCTCTTCACAAGAACCTTCAAAAAAGACAAATAAAAAATGATTTACCTCTTTTTTTTTTTTTTGGTTTTTGTTTTATGTCCAAAATAAAATCGGAAGTGAGTGGTGCGTGAAATTTGAATTCGGTGCGTCTCATCCCGCACTTAAGGGAATGGTGGTATCTTCGGAATGCCAGGCGAGTCTCGTTCTCGGTGTTCCACCGTACGTCGCTGCAGGAGCCTTTAAGGACATCACCAGCATCAGGGATTTTGGTGTGAATAAGTTGATCTCTTGCTGTATCCTTGAGACATTGCAGGATTCTTCGACAGTCGGCACGTTGCGTCGCATAACACTCGACTTACCGGGTCTCCCGACCTCAATTCTCCGGGAACGGTTGGCATCCGTGGAGGAAAATTCCTATCGCACCTGCGTTCGCATGGACTACGTTCCATGTGACCCAGGGGAGGCCCACCGTTCAGTATTTGGTGTGGAGGGGACAAAACTTTTGTTAAACGCTTCCACCTTCATAACTGTTACGGCCGTTTCCAAAAATCCTAACCGATGTTTCTTGGAGATTTGTGCAAAATTCAGCGTGGACGTCGACGTCGCACCGGACGGAATACAACGGGCAACCGACAACCCAACATATCGTGATATCGCGCAGTTTTGGGAACTGTACGTCACCTCCACGGCTACAGCATTGGAGGACTATCTTCTTTCTACGGCCTTTGCCACCGCTGAGCGTCAACCTGACATGGCGACAGAGAAGGAATTCAACGAGGTCGAAGATGAGTACTGTCAGTGGGCTGCGAAAAGATGTGGGCAGATTCCGCGGGAGGAGGCAATGCGTGTACTCGAGAAGGCCCTCAATGCCTGGATGCGTGAGCGACGTGAACTTAAGCATCAACGGATGATAGGCGCACAGTTGATGATGGATGCTTCCGGATCTGCTGCTGTGGCCGCAACAGCAGCACGTGCACTTTCTTTGGCAACTGCGAGCGAAACTTCAACTAATAAACATTCGGTACCCAAACAGCCCCGCCGCACAACAGCCGCATTGGCTTCAAAGAGCCCTACCGTAGAGGCGAATCACTCAATGACATCCTGGGTTTCAACGACCCCGGTCATTGGAAACAGTTCTAAGGCGGACATGGAAAAGACGGAGCACGTGCCGTTCTTCTCGCCTGGTGGTGGACGTAGTTTGAGTCCTAATCCAGCGGAACGCGAGACTGCGGCGAAGTTGGAGTCTGAAGTACAGAGTGCCGCACCACCTCACCGACCTGCGGCAACGGTGTTTAAAAAGGAACTTCTTGCCGAATTCTTGACAGAGCTTGGTACAATCAATGAGCGGGTGGCACAAGTGCTTTTTGAGTCATTGGACACACGTCATGAGGGCTTCATCACGGAACAACAAGTAAGCATGGTGCTCGGCCATCTGGACCCCTTGGGGCTCTACGAAGACCAAGATGGAACAATGCGCCTAATAGAGGAGTACCGACAGAATGTGAGCTCAGGCAATTTCCGAAACAACGCGATTGGTCAGAAATCTTCAGACACAGGCCCGGCTTTTTCCACTGATGTTGCTTCATCCAACAATTCCTCACCGATAACGTTAAAGGACCAGGAAATGGAAGGAAACGAGACCGCGGCTGAAGAACTTACTCCAGTTCGGGCTTTGATCTGTCGTCACAATGAACAGAAGATGACTATGATGGAAAAAATGATCAAGAAGCGTACAACAGAGGTGATGAGTAATTATGCATACAGGACTCGCGGGAAACTGTACTACGACGAATTTTGTTTGATGATGCTACATCTTTTGAAGGAATATTGAGAGCTCGTCTTCCGCCGGTACTTTTCTTTATGCACCTCTGTCTCTTTATTGCATTTATTTTTCCATTTTTTTCTTATTGCCCTTACTTCCCTGTGTTTCCCCTTTATCTCCAAAAGGGGAAAAAGTGGAGAGAAAAGCGGGGGAAAGGCAACGACATGTAAACAAGATGTTTGCCCACATCATGAAGTCATTAAACACACACAGACATATATATATATATATACATATATATATATATATATAGAACGGGGAAAATCGCCATTAGTCGAGGAGAGAAAAAAAGACAAGGAGGGGGTGGACAATATTTAATTCTTTCTTTCGTGCTCTTTTTCTCTGGGTCACTTCCCTTCTCCCACTAGTCGCTATTTTTTTGCTTTCTCATGTCTTCTGTGGGCTATTTAGTGCCTGCACGTTTGTGTGTGAGTAACCCTGTCCCAACTATGACAACAGCAACAACAAAAAGGGTCTCACTGGAAAAGGCATGGGGTACTAGATGTTGTTTTGCGTGTGTGCGTCTCGCATTTGTTTTTTAAGCAGCATTTATTGGAATGGAATGTTTTTCGGTATTGTTGCTGCTGCGTATTGGTCTTTACATATATTATTATTATTACTTTTTGTTTTTACGAGTACCGCAATTTGGGGGAGGTGGGTCGTAGCGGGTGGGGGGGGGGGGGTTTCTGTGAAGAACGTAGTAGAATTGCAGGAAACCCAACGTGTGATGGCAGAAGCAGCGACAGGTGATGGTGCCCTTCGCCGGGCCTACACACGCAGCATGCCCGCAGTCCTGCGTCCCCTTTCACTACTAGAAGAATCCATGGCCGATGTACAGCTGCAGTGGGAGGAAATCATTGAGAGAGTGATGATGGAAGATGCTGTTGCTTCGTCCGTGCATGCCGCAGTGCATCGAGTGGAAAGGCTCGCAAGCCAATTGAAGGCGATTAAGCAAGAGTTGCTTCCACTAATGAAATTCTTTTCCCACCACGAAGAGGATTCACAACAGTCTTTTCTACGGTACTGTTCCTCGACTGTGAGAGCACACGCTAGTGGCGATCACACGGCTCCTGATGTGGCTCAAGGGGAGCAGACGCGCACCAAGCGTTTGGCTGCGTGTGTTTGGGTCTGGAGCGTGTGCATGGGGACAATTCTAAATGACTTGGAATTGCTTAGTAGTAGTTTGTCATTTGCTGCATGTGCGGGTCTCTTTGACAACCCCACGGAAGCAGTATGCAATGTGGAAGCTAGCGCCTTCTTTTTGGGCAAGACGGCGGGTAATGAACCCACTCTCTCGGATGGGGACGTTTTGCTTGCTTGTCAACTGCTTTATCATTTGTTTACAGGAGATGATTTCGCCGCGGAACGGGTACTTCGTCGCGTTATGTCGCTACTAGGTGAATGTGAAGAGGGGCACGATGGCAAAGAGTGCAGAGGGTGCATGCTTAGCCGTCTGGCACGCATAGCAGAGTGGGTGGCAGCCGAGGACTATGGAGCACTACAGGCCTTCATGAAACTCGACTTTTACACAGCTGGGGGTGCTTTCCACTCGCTACCGCCGCTTGTTGTCTACTTTACACAAATGATGCTGGACACCGTGGTTCACCGCCAGTTGGTGCAGAGGCACCTTCAGAGCGCTTGGCGTCCCGTGATCAGTGTGGACAAGCCCGCTAGAGCTGCGCTGCCAGATGTCTCATCAGGCGCAACGATGACGCTTTCTTGTGGTTTGTCAGGGATTTTCAACACGACAACAAGACGCTTGAGGGCATGTTCTCTTTTTCGTCGCGAGAGTTTGCCCCCGCGGGTTCCATGGCCCATCCCTGAGGCTTTAGTTGATAGCTGCTTTAGGGTGCAATGGTAATACCTTTGCGCATCTCAAAACTCTTTTTGGTTTATCTTTCTACGATTGCCGCGGCGATGTCACGCGCACAAAGTAATGTGTAAAAATCATGCTGTCTGATCCACGCATCTTCTTCAACGGCTTGAAACTTGTTCAGATTGCTTTACTTCCTCTCTTTTGCTAACAGCGCTTACCTCCGTTTCTATCGCTTGTTGCTTTTTCTGTATGTCACATTTGACTGGAAAAGGGAAAGCGCGATGTAAGTGGAGCATAGCAGCTGCCTCAACCCTTCCCTCAAGGCGAAGCTGCAGAATGCGGGCTTGCTTTGGTTGGATGATATCTGTTGCCTTTGGGAGAAACAGTTGCACAACGAGGCTGAAGGCGGGCCGCCTCACGAGGCTGCTTCCACTGCCATCCTTTCTTCCTCCGCCACGGACGCCGCATCCCGTCTTCTTGTGCGGTGTCCGCAGCTGACGCGGGCGGAAGCCGTAGATGTAGTGAACGCTCTTCTTCCCCTTTACCGGGGGAAGGATCCTTCGGAGAGTGGATGTTGTCTTTTTCCTGATACTCGAACCTTGGAAGAGATGTTGAAACTAGAGGCCGAGAAGGAAAGCGAAAAGGTCACGACGTTTTGTAGGGGCATGGATTTGCTTCTTGGTGGTGGGATGCAGGTGGGTACGGTCACAGAGGTTTGTGGCCCACCAGGAGTTGGGAAGACACAGCTGCTTATGCAGCTCGCAGTGAATTGTGTGTTGCCGAAGGAGTTGGGTGGGCTGAATGGGGCATGTCTATTTATTGATACGGAGGGAAGCTTTGTGCCGGAGCGTTTTCGTGAAATTGCTCATGCCGCTGTAATGCAAGTGAAAGAAATTATTTTGCGACGGGAGGCGGAGGGTTTTGTTGGCAATAGTGCGGGAATTGTAGACGAGGACGGCCTGACTGTTTCCTTGTCCCTTGGTAGCGGTAGCCGCAGTGCTTCCATTTCAGACTCGTCCACATCACGCAAGCGAACTCGATCTGGGGCGATGGGTGCCTCTTTGGCCGCTCTTGCCGCTTTTTTCACAGTGGACCACATTCTTCAGCAAACACAGTGTCTTCGCGTCGTGGATGTGATTTCGCTCATGGCATTGCTGAACGTGCTGCCTACATATCTTGCCTCCCATCCAGGAACACGGATGGTCGTCATTGACTCCATCGCGTTTCCCTTCCGCTCCTTTTCTCAACTTGGTGCGCATCAGCTTGGAAGTGAAGCTCTAGAGGGTGGAACATCTGCCACCGCTATGGACACCCAAACAGCACATGTGGCACCGTTCACGTTTGCTTTTTAGGTGCGGGCAGTTGTTGCAAAAACACGCCTGGGAGCAGAATATTTGCATTGTTGTAAGCAATCAAGTAACGAGCCGCACGCTGAAGCATGGTACTCCTGAGTGCTCCCGCATTCTTATACCCGCACTGGGGGATTCTTGGGCGTATGGGCTCTCCACACGGCTGCTGCTTACACAGCAGCATGATGCGATACGGGAAAAAGAAAAACACAGCGATGGAGGGAGTTGCCACCAAAACGTGGTCTTCATAACCTCTGCTGTCAGTGGGGGACTCGAAGTTGGCAGCGCGGTTAATGCCGTGCAGCATCGTGTGGCACGTCTTGTGAAAAGCCCTACACAACCGCGTGGAGAGTGTTGTTTTTCCCTCAGCCAGAAAGGTGTGCGTGATGTGTGCCGTGTGTGGCCATGACGGGCCGTGGCAAGGTTTGGTGGTCGTTGTTCTGCCTTTCTCCGTAATGATCTATTGACAGAGGCTCCGTATGGAATAATACACGCTATCTTTATATAAATTTATATCTTTGTCGCGTTTTAAAAATATTTTTTCCCCCTTTTTTTTTCTTGTATTACTTTTTTAAATGATGCCCTTTGGATGCTTGATTGCTTCCATTTTTTTTTTTTTCCTCTTTCTTGTTTTGTGGTTTATTTCTGTCTCGTGGCGGGGCGCTGTGCTCGACGTGGCAATAGCAGCAACTTCGGCAGAAGCTTCACGAGGCCCAGTAAGGGCAACCTGCGGAATTTCTGGAGGGAGTTGTCGTATGGGGCAACTCACCTCAGCCGCTAACGCAACGGGTATGCGGGCGGAAAGCGATAGAAACGATGACGGTGTTCTTCTCGTGAAGCCGGAGGGTGAGCAAAAGCGTCCGTTGCCGCCGTATGAACTGCGAGCAGAGGAGCTTTACAGATCGTATGTACGGCCATTTCAAATAGTGCCCCCGCTTTTGCGGACGTCTGCGGGCTTGTCGCCTTCTTCGTCTGAAGCGGAACAAACCCTGCTGAATAGCCTTCATCGGCGATGGAATTCGCTTGTTGTTTCTCAGGTTCGCTTAATGGAGCGGGAGGCGCTCCAACTGCAGAAGGCCGGTGACGCAGGTGATGAAGGCCACGCAGTGGCGGCGACTGATGGTAAAGGGGTACTTGCTCATGGACTGCAAGAATTTGCTAATTCTTGGCATGCGCTTGCAACAAGTGCCGTGAATCAGGCGAATGCAGAGGCGCATGCGATTGACAAGACTCTTGCTGAAGTGAACATAACACTCGATAGTGTGAAAGGGGTGGCTGATGAGCAGAATCATGTTGCTGAATTGTACAATTTTGTTGAGGATGAGACGCACGCCTTTCTTGAGGAAGTGACTTTGGCTGCACGGCTGCTGCAGGACGATGTTGTGGCTCAGTTGAGGGACACGTGGTCACTGATGAGTGATGCGGAGCGGGCGGATTTTCAGGCCGACCCCAACAAGCTTTAAAGGCATACGGCGTAGTCCTGATGGACGTGTCTTCTTTTGTTTCAGTGCTTGTGGCTGTGGATTTTGCAGCTTTAGTACGCTCTTGGTGGGATGTCTTCCCCTGTTGGCATCTCTTCTCTCTTGTACATATTTCTCACATTTTTTTTTTTTGTTATCTCTCACTCTACCACACCACATATGCACACGCACACACACACACACACCTACATGCCTTTTACTTGATGACTCCTTTTTTGTTTTGGTTTCAGATCTCTGTCTTTTTCTGCGTGTTGATTCAGTTGTTTCCACCCACCCTACCCCTCTTTTCTCTTTTTTGTGCTCCCTTTCGCCTATTCTGTAATGCCCTCCTCGCTGCCATGGTGGTCGTCTGCTGGGCAGTTTTATGTCTTTGGCGGACGTCTTCACCTTTGCACCCGCCACGGGTCATGTCTTCTCCACGAGTGAGCGTGTCGCGCTTGCGACGTCGATCCCACTCTTGATGGAGAAGAGCAAGCGGCGCACGATGCTGGTGTGGGGAAAGGTGTACGGCTTTAAAAATGACTACATAATTGTGCAGGCCTTTGACGACGACCTTGTGGCGCAACCGGTCATTTACTATTCCGTCGATGGGGGTCTCTCCTTTGTGTTTCTCGGAACGACGGAGTCGCTGATGCAGCGCACCATGGACGAAGTTGTGAATGAGAAGCAGAAGAAGATGTTGATGTACAGAATGCGTGGACCATTTATGGGTGACCCCTCGTATGAGTATCGGGTTGTGGACGAGCTGACGGGAAGCACCTCCAGCTACAAGGAATCCCTGCGTCTTGTGCTGTTCATTGATGCGCACGACTTTCACTGCCGCGTCGCACCGCGTGGGGCGTACTACCGTGAGCTCCGCAACGCCACGCTCCCGCCGGAGATCAAACGCAACGCCGCCTTCACAGGACTAAAGCGTTCCCACGAGGAGGCACTCTCGCTGCGGAACTACTACCACTTGCGCGCACATAACCCATACATTGAGTTCATTGCGAAAGCCGAGGGGTCGCTGTTGCATGCAAAGTCTGGGCTGGAGCGGCTTGAGGAGGATCAAAACCTCGACGCCATTTTTTTCCCTATCAGTGACGATCTTCCGGGGGGAGTCTGGCGTCTACGGTACGACCCGGTGCATAACGTTGTCCTCGGGAGAAACGTAAGGTTTGTAGGATCGATCTTTTATCATGTACCGGAGACAAACAAGTACGGCACCATCTATATTGGGGACGGCAACATCAACCACGACATTGCCTTTGAATTGTGAAGAATAAGAAGACGCAGTCAGATTCTCACATACAAGTGCATAAACGAATGCATGCAAGGAAAAAGGAACAAACGACGACAGCAAAACCCGGATAAAAAGACAAACAAACGAAGAAACATACACGATGACAGTGGTATGTACTGCTCTGGCCCAGTCGGTTTGAGTCCCTTTTTTACTTCTTCGCGTTAGATGACGATGTAGAGTTAGGCTCCCTCTTTATCTTCCTTCCATTGGATATGGAGAACTCAAATATGGGGGGGCGGGGCACAATGCCATATTGAGGCGGCTTTGCACATGGCATTGCCTACTGCTTTTCTTGTTGTTTACCTTTTCCTTTCCCTGTGGATGCGTCCCACTTCCACTTGCTGCTTTTCTATTTCTGTCTCTCGCTATCGCACTGCCGTGTGAAGCCTTTTCGTGCAGTTACATACCGCACGACGGGCATTAATATAATTTCCCGGGATCACTTGTTTTTGCCCCACCGCGGTAGGTTGGGGGGGAAGACGGTGAAGAAGCGCGGGTTGAAAAATACACGCAGGGGAAGAACACCAGAACGAAAAACAAAAAAATCAAAAAAAAAACGTAGCGAGGCTGTGTGGAAAATATATATATCAACGAACAATAACCAAACAAACGAGGGGGAGTCACGCAAATCCATCTGCGAATGATGCAGCGTACAGTGAGTTGCCTCGGTTACGTTCGTGTTCCGGCTGCCGCCGCAGACATCATTGGGACAGGGACACACCGTCATCACCATTTGCATCAGCAGCGTCAGATCACAACGCGGGGACAATTTAATCCGGTACATGACTTTGCGTATGCCATAGAGCGCGGTGTACGCGCGAGGGACGAGAAGGCATTTGAGAAGCTCATCACCAATCCCGGTCCTCTGCGCATTGCCTATTCACCCGACTACTTGGACTGGCTTTACCGCTGCTACAAGGCGAAGGTCAAGTACCTGGATGCACGTGCGGCGGCGGAGAAAAAGTTTAACGGCAACCTCATTAGCAGCGAAGTGGTGACAAGATCCTCAGGTGAACCAAACAATCCCTTGCCGGGTGCCCCACCACCAGGCATGTTTCTTCGACCCCCACATTCGTTCCGTCGCATCTCAGGTGAGATGAGGCGCAAACATGCGCAAGAAACCCTTGATGAGGTTGCCAAGGCGCAAGGGATGCTTGATCTTTTTGAGCGTCAGCCACAGTTTCCAGCCATTCACATTGATCGATGCACGCGCTTTCACCTTGTTGAGTTGTTTAAAGAGATGGTGCTTGAACGCTCCCTTGAAGCCACTGCAATTTGGGACAAGGCATTACTCTATCGCGCCATCTTGTCAGAGCGGAAGCCGTCCTACCCATCTTCATTCCGTTATATCTTTAACGCTGTCGAGGAGACCGTGTTTGCGCCCAGCTCGGTCAACTGCCCCTCACTTGAGGCGTACTACTACTTTTTGTATTTGGTGAAGAAGTACTACATTGACAACGCTGTGGAGGCACACGTGGTGTTGCGTTGTCATCGGGAGCCGAATATGTCAGATTTACTCTTCTCAAATCCCCCACCGAAGGATGATGTAGAGGTGCGACAGGCAATTGAAACCTTGCGGTCGGCGGAAGCCACTTCTTCTGCCGCTTCATCCATCGCAAATAAGAATGTGAGCGTGGGTAATAATCGCGGCGACACTGAAAAAAAGGACGCCTCTGGCGCTAAGGCGAAAAGATCTTGTCAATTTGTACCACCTAGTATGTATCCACCCATTGAAGCGTTGTGGCGTTGTGAGGAGAATTTGGCGCTGCTTAAGATCATTCTCTTTGGTGAGTTCAACTTGATTGTCTCAGAGAATCCCTTTGTGAAGTTTCCTGGCGCCCACGCCTTTCTTACAAGGCCCTACTCTACGGAATCCTCAAAAGGCACAATTGACGGTGCCAGTCTTGCCCATGTCATTGCAGAGAAACGTGGACATCTGCTTCCTTCATTTCCACGGAATGTGGCGTTCGCCATTGATGGCCGGGCTCAGGATTTACGTCGTCTGCAGCAGAAACACCACCGTGATGACATCGTCAGTTTTCAGACGTTACTGCGCAGCACGCACGTTGAAGACAATCCCTCGACCTTTTCTAGTTACTCGGATTGGAGCTATTTTAACCCGAGAGCTGTACGTGCAGAGGAGCGTGACAGACTCACACGAAAAGGCATAGTCGCTCTGAAGGAATATGATTCCGCCACTGAAGACATTTATCGGCGTAGCTTTGAGGATGCACAGGCAAGTAACTTCCAGCGTGTGACGGAGGCATGGAATACCTTTCCACCGTATTTGCCAACACTACCACATTTTGTTTCCGTCATTAAAAAAGATCCTCACATTTCTTTCCTGTCTCATGTTGGGTTGCCAGAGAAAATTGTCAGTGCAGAGGCCGCCGCTAAACATAAAGAGTTTGAGAGGCGTATTTACCAACTTGCTCGCGCGTTATATCACACGGCTTTGGAGTTTCACATGGAGACGGTGCGGCGGGTGAATCGGCAGAAGGTTAACATCGCGGCCTCCCTCTTGGATAGTTTTGTTGAGCAAGAATGGGCATCCATGCTACAAGAGAGTGATTCTTCGGAGACGCTAATGGGTCAGAGCGCTCTGCCGGATAAAAAGGCGGATATGGCACGGCGACTGGGACGCTACATGCCTTTTGCGCGCCGCTCACTTGATGAGCACGGCTTCCCAACGGATGCCCGCGCTGACGACTACGCACGGTGGATGGAGGCTCCTGCCCGAGTGAAGAGAACTGCTTAGGGTGTAGGGAACAAGGTCGACCAAAGAACAAGGAACAAAGGAAGAAGAACAAAAAAAAAAAGGCAAAAAGAGAGACAAGTGAGGAAAGAAGAAAAAGAAGATGCCGGCTATTGACGTGCTGGTTTTTCTTATTTTTTTACCCCTCATTCCCTCTTCTACGCGTGAAATTCTGCAATTTATGTTCTTGGTGGGTATATATTCCTTACGTTGTCTCTTTGTCTCTCCTCTACGTTTTTACCCATATGCGACTTCCTTGTGTGCTTGCTGTTGGCCTTTATGCGTCTTTTATGAGGTTGCTTTGACTCTAACGCTTGACAGTTGATAAAGTAGTAAAAGCGAAAAGACAAAAAAAAAGAGCTTTGGACTACTGGGGCCCCTTCCCCCTTTGAGCAGCACGCACCGTTGCATCACAGTTCTACATCATCTCCTGTACGCGAGGGTCAACGGTGATTGGAGTAAAAGCATTAAACCAATACATTTATTTTTCTTTTCTCATATATATTTGTGTGTGTGTGTGTCCAATGAGCGATGTAGTTGAGTGCATCCAACGCCTAAAAGGCACTGACCAGGATCATATTCTGGAGATTATTGAGCATGGCAACGAAAAGGACCGATCAGTGCTGGTGAAACAGCTGGCGGTGGACCTTCATGGTGTGGATTTTCACCATCTCAACGATGTTTTGCGCCAGAGCCGGGAACACGGCATGGATCACAACATTACAGCGGAGACGGAGCCACCGTCCGATAATTTTTTGTTTGACGCGGTGGAGGCACGGCAAACCGGAAACAAAGGCGTTGAGGAGCTGGAGCAGCTTGGCTATGAGGCCATTCACGCTGGACGTGTGGCATTTTGTATTTTGGCTGGTGGTAGCGGGACTCGACTCGGCGCGAACGTTCCCAAAGGGCTCTTGACATGCGAAGGCCTTCTTGAGGGAAAATCGCTATTTCAAATTAACTGTGAAAAAATACTCCGACGCGAAGAGCTGGCGACCTTCAGATGCGGAGGCGTTCCCTCAGCAAAGGTACAGCTCCTAGTGATGACTTCTATACAAAACGATGAGCAGACACAGCTGTTTTTTCAAGAGGCGAACTATTTTGGGCTTGCGAAGGAACAGGTGCACTTTTTTATGCAAGCGTCTCTTCCGTGCTACGACGAGCACACCGGAAAAATACTCATGGAGTCTTCCAACCGTATTTGTACTTCGCCTAGCGGAAATGCCGGGCTGTATACGGCCTTAACGGATCCTCCTCGGGGTGCGGAGGAGTCTGTGATGCAGCGGCTGGTTCGTATTGGCGTAACGCACGTTCAGATTGGAAACGTGGATAACCTAATTACCAGGGTTGCGGACCCATTGTTTCTTGGATACGCCATTAAGGAAGAGGCACATGTCGTGGTAAAGGCAAGCCCAAAGGCCAGACCAGACGAGGCTGTTGGTGTTTTCGCGCGTGTTCGCGGAGAATGGGGAGTTGTCGAATACACTGAAATTGGCGAGAGGGCGACGGAAGTGGATCCTGCAACTGGAAAACTGAAGTTTAACAGTGCAAATATTTCTTCCTATATTTGCACTGTTCGCTTCCTGCAGCTTGCGGCTGATCGTATGAAGACCTTTACGCGGTACCACCTTGCACATAAAAAAATACCTACTGTAAATGGCCTGACGATGGGGATCAAACTAGAGGGATTTATTTTTGATTTATTTTGCCTTGCCAAGGAATGTGTGGATCCATCCGTAAGGAACAGTGACGGTTTTTGCATTATGCAGGTAAATCGCAGTGAGGAGTTTGCCCCCATTAAAAATGCGAAGGGAGCATCAAGTGACACAGTGAGTGAGGCAACACGACTCTTGTTGGCGTTACACACACGATGGTTGTCCACTGCCCTCAGTTCCGTCTCCTCAGGAGGGGGCAGTGACGCTCAAGACGCAGCGGCGGCACTTGCGGTGCTGCAACGTAAAAAGGAAGCTGTGGAAATATCACCGCGTGTATCAAGCGAGGGAGAAGGGCTAAAGCCGTACCTTCCGCGTGTGATACATCAACTTTTACATGTTTCGTGTAACAGGGTTGTTATTCGGCGGCCGGACGAGGTCCCGCTGAGGCCATCAAGCATGTAGAATGTAGGGGACAAACAACTGAGAGAACAACAACAACAACAAAAATAAATGGAATTTATATATCTACTGTTTACTCCTTTTTTTAAAAAAAGCATCTCCACTTTTTTTTTTATGTTCTTGGGGAGATATAATGTGGAGTACATGAACGGTGTACTGTTTTTTTTTCTTTTCGGATTCTTCTTATTTTCTTTTAGATGTATCTGGGGAGTAATGAAAATGAGTGGCTCCATGTGAGCGTGTGTTGTACGGTGGGAGGTCATCATGGTTCTCTCTTTTTTTTTTTTACTTCCTACTCTTCCTTTTCCTTTATATATATATACATTTTCTCTATGCATTGCGTTAGGCTTGTGTGGTGGCGATAACAGCGAGGCACCCACGCACGCATTTTTTTTTTTTTGACGGAGCAGCGAAATTAAGGACAGAAGAGTTTGAGATTAAAAGAGGAGGAGAAATGAAGCACCAAGGCGAGGGTGCTGGTGGGAGGGCACCCCTCAAGAATACGCGGAAGAGCGCAAATATGAGCCGTCAGAAACTCTTGCAGCTGCGGCGTCAAGCGCTGGCGGTGAAGCGGCAAAAGGCGGAGGTGCAGAAAGCAGAGCTGAAGAAGGCGGCGTCGAGGCGCATCCAGTCGGCATACAATAAAAAGACACATAAGGCATTTGACCATAGCATTCTGAAATGCGTGCAGGGCGGACTGGTGGAGTCGATTGAAAGCCTTGGCGAGACTGTTAGTCCGCTGTCGCTTTTTATGGCTTCCTCTACCGCCCTTTCACGGTCTCCAGAGAAGCACCACATTCCATACATTCTTGCAATCGCATCGGCCTGCGCACCTCGCCTGAGTCAAGGTGTCTTGCTGCATCAGCTAGATTCCGCTATCACATTAGCGGAGCAAATTATCGCGGAAAATGTGGCAAGTAATTATCTTGTTGTGGTCAAGGCAATGAAGTTTGTTCAGCAATTGATTTTATCCATTCAACCTCCGTCCATGCAGATACTCGCATCTTTTTCTCGTCTGGAGCCAAGCAAACTACAGGTTGACACCATGAAAATGTACATGGTAACCTTTCGCAAACTCCTGGAACGTGCGGCTCTAAGCGAGGCATCGTCGTCATCAAGTTCACATTCCGTTCGTGATGAGAACACAGGTGCCTACATACTGGGTGAGAACCAAAAGTTTTTTGTAGAGGCCTTGCCGCGATTTGTAAAATTGTGTGTTTCCAACTTCACAGACGCGCCTGTTAGTCTTGTCTCATCGACGACGTCAGAGCTTGCTGGGCTTTTCCAGCGCACCCTCTCGCCGTACATTGTGGAGTCAGTGGGGGGACGTGAGATGATTGACAGCATTGTCTCCACCCAGCTGTTGGAGCTGTTGAAGCCACACTGTCAGCTATACTGGGGGTACGCACTTGAGGTGATGGAAGCATTTTTTGACCGGCTAAATTATCTCAAGCGCACTCCTTCTGGGGATGCAATGCCTTTTATGCAGCGTTTTCCTTCATTCCCATTTGTTCTCCGCGTACTTAACAAACTGCGCACCATGGACGACTCAAAACTAAATGGGAAGATTGAGCGAGTGATGGTGTCTATTGGGAAAGGCATGCGTGTTCAGGAATTTGTGAGTGTTATTTCGTTTGATCCGCGTCGAGCACACGACGCTGAGCTCCACGCCACCGACGCTACTACCGAGAAGGATGCGTGGGCCACTAGTTACGTGCTAAACATCATTCGACGCATTGCACCGCACGATTCGCTACCTTTCTTTGTTGAGCACTTTTTCCCACTTATTCAGTTCTCTCGCAGTGTCGCCTTGGAGTATGAAAAACAGCAACGTGTGGAACTAGCTAACACGTGGACGGCGTTGCTGCAGCAGTATTGGCGTGTGGGTGTCGGCTTCTGCCACTACCCGCGAACCATCACAAAGGAGTCGTTTCGTGACGTTGCAAAGCAGTTGGTGGGCCTCTTGTCACATCCGCTCTTTGTGGACACCAGTGCTACCGCCCTACACGTCCTCTGCGACGGCTACCACGAACTTGGGACTACGGAGTCGCTGGAAGATGAAACTGCGAGCGACAACAACGCGGATGACAGGGAGGAGCGCTTGTATGAGGATCAACGGGAAACCGGTACGCGGGGGAAGCGTGCACTGCCAATGAAAAACAGTCTTGAAGATGACACACACTTTCTCTCTCTGAATGATCCTACGTGGAACCGCCACGTCTATCATGGCATCTCTCAGGAGGCCGCTAAGGATGTGTGCGAAAATGTCATTGCGAAGTTTAGCGCCAATATTATGCCGAAACTTTGCAACACGTTTGAGAGTCACGACTCGACAGCCGTGTTGTTGGCAATTCAGAGTTTCTCACGCGTCTGCACACCGGATGTCATGCAGGTCATTCTGAAGGGCATTCTGGACCTTGGCACAAACATTGCACTGCAGACGCAAGAAAAGGATCTTGCTGCGGGGAAGAAGCCGAACCACACACCATTGACCGGAAAACGTCGCATGATACTTGACATCTCGTGCGCCGTCATCGCTCAGCTCCCTGTGGAACATGTTGTGACACTTTTCAATGACATCATTGAGCCAGTCTTGATGGATCCGGCACCCGAGTCCCGTTTATTGCAGAAAAAGGCGTACAAGCTTTTGTTTGCCATGTTTGAACATCGTATTAAAGATATTTTCCAACTATTCCCTCGTATCGCTGGACTTCTCACGGTTGGACGTCAACATGTCACAATTTCAGGCATAAAAATGCGGCTACGATGCCTTGTATGGGCTCTTGACGCCTGCAAGATGTACCATCCAGAGCAGATTGTCCCTATGATTCGGACAATTGTGGGAGAAACCATCATGCTTTCCCGTGAGCGTTCTAGTGAGACACGTGCCGCCTCAATGGATCTTTTAGAAAAGATGCAGCGTTACCTCGTCGGCGCTGGTAATCCGGTGAATATGCTTTTGCATTTGGTGCTTGCCGGGTTTTCAGGGAAAACACCATGGATGGTTTCAAGTACAGTGGTGGCCATGGCAAAGCTTGTGTATATCACCCATCAGGAATTGCCAGAGGCAGACCTTGAAGGCGCCATTGCACTAGGGTTTCGCATGATGGAGTCCGCCGAACCGGATGTTAGGTCCTCGGCGGCGATGTTTGCACGGATGGTATTAAAGCTCATGAAACGATGTCCACGCGTTGCAGCAGCGATGGAGAAATCACTACCCAAGCTGCTTCTTGCCATTGCTCTCACGACCTCTCAGCCACGTGTTTCTAGCAACATTCGTCTGCAGATGCGGGTGCTGCTTGAGAAATGTATCAAACGCTTTAGTTTTGAGCGTCTGCACCCCATTTTCCCCATTGGTTCGAAGAACTTCCTTTGCTACACGCAGAAGATGATGCGACGGGAGCAAAAGAAGGAAGAACGGGAGCTTAAGAAGCGTATTGATGATAAGAAAAATGAGTTTGATCGTCTCTTCCTCGGGGCTGTGATGAAGGCTGGAGCTGAGGATGATGCAGAGCGCGATTTACTGCAGGCAGGAGCCTTAACAAGCTTTGTGTCTGCGTACACCGTGCCCTCTTTCGCCGCGGCAGCGGATGCGGAGGACGACGGGGATGAACTTGACACCATGCACCTTGAGTTTCAGGACGGTAAGCTGCACATCATGAGCATTGAGGAAAAGCGCCAGCAAGTCGAGCGTCAACGTCGACAGGAAATGGCCAATCGCCTGTTACACCGCGGGAATCATCTGGCGCATGCAGACTCGCTCAACGAGCGGGCGCTGGGCATGCGCAGCAAGCGCTCTCGGTCAGAGGCCGAGGACTTTGAGAATGACGAGCTTCTGCTTCGGTATGGCAGCAAGATTAACAGCGAGTCGGCCCAAGGCACGATATCTACGGCACAGTCCCGCGTTGGCCCCGGAGTAAACCAAATTGAAAAGCTGCGAGACCAGAAGCTTGAGAAACGGGAGCTGAAGCGGATGCGAGTGGAGGAGGATATTCGCAAGGGCGAGGAGTTCAAGGGAACCGGTGAGGGTGACGTGCGGCGCGGCAATGTGGCACCGTACGCCTACATTCCGCTAAACAGGCAGTACATGAATAAGCGCCACCAGCGGGAGGCGCTGCAGCGACTCATGACGGTCGCTCATCCACACGTGAAGGGAAACAAGGCCAAACTTGCCAGTCGCGCCAAAAAACGCCACAGTAAGTGAAGATCAGCGGGAGGAGAGAGGCTGACGGCCTTCCGAGTGAAGATTCAGCCGTCATCACCGGCGGAACGAGACTCAAAGCAATAGGAAGAAGCGGGGGTGGAGGCACATAAAAGCAAAGAGTGAGAAAGAAAAGAGAGGAAAGAAAACAATAAAAAAAATGAAAGAAGAGGAGGAGTTCATCGTGAGGTAACATCCGAAACAACTAACAAAAAGAAAAAGAAGGCCACGATAACAACGAAACAATAACGTGTGATATTCCCTCACCTTGACGTCTCCAACTTGTATTCGCCTACATGCGCTAACAACGTGTAAACAATCCGATCGGAAAAATGGGGGGAGGTGGTGATTCACCACAGACCTTCAAAAAGGAATCATAAACATAAAATACAAACAAGAAACAATGGATGAACGAAAGCGGAGAGAACAAAAAAAAACTCTCACCCATAATTTTTTTGAATTTTTATTGCCTTTTTCTTTTGGCTTTCAATTGATAGTAAACGTGTCTCTTAGTAACGGCCCAAGACCGAAATCCGTCTGAAAAAAGAAGAACAAGAACGTTGTATACCATAACTACATAAAACTCCTACGTACACACCCGCCCCCAAATACCATTTACAAGAAGGGAGAAAACAGCAAAGGAAATGCAGGCATACAAGGAACTTGAGCAACTATTTACAAAACTCTATCGCTATGAACATCTTTATTCGCTTGCTGCGTGGGACGCCCGTGTAATTATGCCTCCAAAGGGTGATGAGGCACGTGGAGCCGCAATGGGTGAGCTTCGTGTGCATATGCATGATATTATCACCGATGCCAAGGTGAGAGCACTGCTTGAAAAAGCTGAAAAGTCAGCGGGAGATTTTGATGATCTAAGGCGTGCCAACCTTCGTGAGATGCGTCGCGTCTGGCAGTTGGAAAATCTTCTTTCTGGGGACTTTGTCGAGCGCAAAGCGATTCTTACAACAAAGGCCGAAGAAGTATGGAAAAAGTGCCGCGCGGAGAATAACTTTGTCGGATTTCTTCCGACAATGAAGCAGCTGGTTGAGCTGTGCCGCGAGGAGGGGAGACTGCGTGCCGGGAGCTCCGGCAAGCATCCGTATGAGGCCTTGGTGGATCTCTATGAGCCCGGCATGACGCTTCAACGCCTGGACGAGGTATTTGGCTACGTCAAGTCGTGGCTGCCTGGGCTTCTGAAGGAGGTGCAGGCGAAGCAGAAGAAACTTTACGAAAACGTTGTGGAGCCCAAGGGGCCGTTTCCGGTGGTAACGCAGGAGGCACTGGGCCGTTTTTTTATGGGTGTGTGGAAGTTTGACTTTGATGGTGGCCGGCTGGACGTCAGTGCGCACCCGTTTTGTGGGAACTCAAAGGAAGACGTGCGCATCACCACAAACTACCGCGAAAACGAATTTGTGACGAGCCTGATGGGTATCATCCATGAAACAGGGCACGCTAAGTATGAGCAGAATTGCGGACCCGCAGGATTTGAGACTCAGCCAGTTCGTGAGGCACGTTCACTTGGTATTCATGAGAGTCAGTCGCTGTTTGCAGAAATGCAAATTGGCCGTTCTGCTGCCTTCATGGAGTTTCTTGCTCCCAAGCTTGTGGAATACTTTGGCGATCAACCTGCCTTTACCCCTGCCAATATGAAGAGGGTGTCACAGCGCGTTTCCCCTGGCTTCATCCGCATTGATGCTGACGAGCTTTCCTATCCGCTGCATGTTATCCTGCGTTATGAGCTTGAGCGCGACCTAATGGATGAAAAGATGGAGGCAGAGGATCTACCGAGGGCATGGAATGAAAAGATGAAGAGCTACCTTGGTCTGGAAACTCTTGGTAACGACAAGGAAGGATGCCTGCAGGATATTCATTGGGCAGAAGGTACGTTTGGATACTTCCCGACGTACCTTATTGGAGGAATGGTGGCAGCACAGCTGATGAACTCGATCCGGAAGGAGCTTGGTGAGGAGGTCGTGGAGGATTGCATCCGCAAAGGTGAACTTGACAAGCTTCTTGAGAAGCAGAAGGAGAAGATTTGGCGGCACGGTTCCTCACTGACGACTGATGAGCTGCTCAAGCAGGCCACCGGAGAAACCCTGAACCCCAAATACTACCGTATGCATCTGGAGCGCCGCTACCGCGACGACAAAGGATAAGACTTTTTGTTAATAAAAAAAAAAATGGTTTGTTTGTTCTTTAGAGGACGTTAGTTTTTTTTTTTTGTTTGATTTATAAACATGGGTATTAGTTTTGGTATTCTACATAGATATGATGCATGAAACGTTATTGAGTAACTTTTTAAAAAAAATTTAGTTTTTGTATTTTGTTGTCTGATGTGTGTTCTTTTTGAGCGGTGTGCTTTTGTTGTACTCATTGTCTTTTTTTTTATTTTTATGTTTAATGTTTGACGTTATTTCTTCCGATGATGTCGTCTGTGAAGCCTCAGTTTTGACGACGACTACGGAAAAAGAGATATATCTTGAAGTTGTGTTTCTGTGTGTGAAGAGAGTCAATTTTCAGTATAGGGAGAGGAGTTGAATAGGACAAATTAGGGCAGTGGCAAGCAAGGGGCGGCGTCACACACACACAGACACACCATAGGGACAAACAAACTAGTATCAATAGATATACAAGTGAGGTGGGAGGTTTGAATCGGGATGTCACATATTAACCAGGCAGAGGAAGGACGCATCACTGTTTGTGTTCGGGCTCGTCCCCTCAGTGAACGCGAAAAACGTTTGAAATCACCGTCATGTCTTCGCTTTCATGATGGAAAAACAGTGCGGATTTTCAGGACAGGTTGCCCTGAAGATGGTGCGGAGGGAACGGATGAGGCTTCCACGGCGAAAGTCTTTGCTTTTGATCGTGCCTACGACTCCAACGTGGTGCAGGCCTCACTGTATGAGGATTTGGGATTGCCCGTGCTGGCCTCTAGTTTTAAGGGGTTTAACACCTGCATTTTTGCGTATGGCCAGACGGGAAGCGGGAAGAGTTACTCTATGATGGGACCCTCTGGTGGTCGCGACGTGTTTGTGGATCCGGGTATTATTCCTCGTTTATCCAAAGGGCTTTTTGCCATGGTGCAGGAACGGCATGCCAAGAATGCGAACGATCGTGAGGCAGCGCGTGCGAATGCGGTGGAAGAGCATGCTCTCCCACCTGAGCTAAATATAACTGTTTTGGTGAGTTACATGGAAATCTATCAAGAGCGTGTGAATTGCTTACTGAACAATAAGCTTGATAATCTCAAGGTTCGTGAACACCCGGCGCTTGGTGTGTACGTGGAGAAGCTTAGTGAGGTGAAGGTGTTCTCGGAGAACGACATTATGCAGGTTGTAGATAGAGGCAACCAGGGCCGCCACACAGCTGCCACGAAGATGAATGATCGTTCCAGCCGCTCGCACGCCATATTTTCAATCTCACTCATTCAGGAGCATAAAAGCGTCACAAAGGATGGTAATGCTTCCTCAACAGCGCTTCGGGCCAAAATTAATCTTGTGGACCTTGCAGGTAGTGAGCGGGCAAAGTCAACTGGAGCGGAGGGAGATACGCTCCGTGAAGGGGCTAACATCAACAGGTCTCTCACCGTCTTGGGGCAGGTGATCAATGCTTTGGCGCAATTGAGCAAACAAAAGTCGGACGCAGCCGGCCCTAAGCATGTTCCATATCGAGACTCTACACTGACTTTTATTTTGAAGGAGTCCCTTGGAGGCAACAGTAAAACATTCATGTTGTCGACGCTTAGCCCTGCAGCGGCAAATTACGAGGAGACACTAAGTACGCTGCGATACGCTGACCGCGCTAAGGCGATTGTGACGCGAGCCATCATCAATGAATCGGCAGGAGACAGGAAAATACGTGAATTAGAAGATGAGGTTCGCGTGTTGCGAGAGAAGATGCGACACTATGAGGAAATGGTTGCACATGGGGAAGCCGTGAGTAACATTTCCAACCGTGTCTCGCAAGAGTCGACGAATGATGCTGGTGACGATGGGGAAACAAGAACCATTGTGGAGGATGACATGATTTATGCTCACGCTAAGACACCGAGGTGGGCAGGAGATGCGGCGGCGTTGGAACGAGAATTACGCCGTTCGGAAAGTCTAATTCAACACCTTGTGGCTAACAAAGGTATCTCACTGGAGGCATCCACGCTGCGTGATATGTATCCTTCCACTCCCACAATTAGAGTCAATCGTAATGAACCGTTTTTGCTTAATATGGATGGAGTTGGGGACTGGGTGGTGGAGTATCTTTTCCCCGGCACAACATATTTTGGACGCGAGGCAGGTGATACGGAAAAGGGTGCGCGTTGCATTGTGGTCAGTGGGGAGCAGACGGCTGGTATTGCTGCCCGACACTGCTGTTTTATCAGGCAAGAGGGTGGTGAGGTGTTGCTTCGACCGCTGGATGGCAACCTGACGTACATTGACGATGATCAAGATCCCGTCGCTGAGGATACCCCGCTGAAAGGTGGTACTGTGGTCTGCTTGGGTGACGAATATGTGCAGTTTAAATTTTTTGACCCCACCGCACCACAGCCGACGGCGCGGCGTCGCAATGTGCGAAATACGGAATCTCCTACAAACAATGCCTTGAGTCCCAGCGTTAAAAAGTCCTCATTAAACAATCAATGCCTGAAGTCATCTGTGAGTGACGGTGCTGGCAGTGGGAATGTGGGTCATCCAACTGTACCAGCCCTACGACTGAAGGAGGCACTGCAACGTGATCGATCATGCGGCACACGTATAAAAAACGCGCACCACGACCCAATGACACCAACAATGAGTTCCACCACGACTGAACCAGGTGGTGTTTCTATGGTGGGCATCACGCCACGGACGACGCGGGCAACTGGGAGGGTGGTTATTTCCCCCAATGATGAACTCAGAGTTATGTACCGTCATACATTTCTTTTTATTGGCGCCAGTAATGCTGGAAAGAGTGCCTTTCGTGAAAATTTGCAAAAACCCGACAAGTGGTATTCAATGTTCGCAAATGAAAAACTGCACGTACGACCAACTTTTGGTGTGGATTCCTCGTTAATTGAGACGGCAGCAGGAAAACAGAGTGTACAGATGAACCTCATGGAGTTGAGTGGCGATCGATGTTTTTCTCTTGTTGAGGGACTTTTACCAACACGGCGTGTGACCTATGTCTTGTGTTTTTCGCTTCAGAAAATACCCTCACTGGAGACATTGCAACCTTTACTGGAGTTTATTCTCTGTCGAACCTCCAGTAGGGATGCGACTGTGGTTCTCATTGGGACGTATCTTGATACTTTCAGCCTTGAGGAGGAGGAGTTGGGCCAGGTATTTGCCACCATAGAGATGGAGATCAATAACTACTTTCGTCTTGTACAGGACATTCCAGAGAAGCGGCCTTCTATAGTGGGTCGTTTTGCGGTTGATAACATTTCCCGTGTGGTGGTTTCCCCCGGATTTTCCAAAATGAAGAAGTTTCCTGAGCTTTTGTGCTGGTTCGGTGAGCAGGTTTTGCAGCGGTGCCGCAATGATGTTGAATTCCCAAATGCTGAGGTTCCCTTGCGGGCGCTGGCGCTGTCAAAGAAAATTCGTGAGCTGACTCGTGGAGGGCAATGGTATCTCACATCCGCAAGTTACAAAGCCATCGCCAAGGCTGTTGATGCTCGTTATGGTTTAAGCAGGGATGATTTGCATCGCCACACTCAGCTTCTGGTAAGTTGGGGCGTCTTACATCACCATTTTAGACATTTTTTAATGAAGAAGTACGTGATGGTGGATGTTCAATGGGTGTACCGTGTGGTGGCTGTCTTGTCTTGTTGTACACCCTCGGTTAGTTTTGGTGTGGAGCCCAGTACCTTGTGGAAACCGCTGCCGTTTGTCAGGTGTCAAACACTGTTGGAAAAAATGCGTGATGTAATTCCTTTCGACGTTGATGCTGTTCTTGCCTCTGACGTGTACTCTGTTTTCAACAGAGGTGTTCTGTCCGTGAAGACAGCCATGCTGCTTTTTCGCGGGGTTATGGCAGAAAAGGGCCTTGATTTTTGCTCCCTCACTGGCCTTTTGGAGGTGCTGCGAATATACGACTTTGTTGTTATGGGAAGCCGCCTCAAGTTTTCCTCTTTTATGGGTGACCTAACGGAGAACGTGCCAGGTAGGAGTCGTGACGTTACTCTAAAAAAGGAGACGAATTATGTTGAGAATGGGACCATGAAACACGCTGCTGAGGATAAAGAGGAGGATAAACAGACAACACCGGCGGCACAGACTTCATCGATGGAGATGTTTCTGCTCATTCCCGCCTGCTTCAACTCTCAACCCCCCTCGGCATTCAATGTACACTTGCCATCTTTTCTTTGCGGCCCCTTCTACCGATTTACGCTCAACATTGTGCCACACAATTTCTTTGCGTGCGTCACGAGTCGTGTGGCGCATCTTTCAGAAAAAATATATCTCGGCCCTGTCAGCGCTCGTCCGGTGCCGGTGGAAGATCTTGTGGGTGGTGACTGCAACGGCATTACAATCACTGGAAGCATTCATAATACCTTTGGAGACAAGAAGGTTCAGAAGGGCGGTGCTCGCGCCGTGGGAATAAGTACGGAGGGCAAGCCAATGGGTATGACGTCGATGGTGGACAAGAGTCACTTTTGGGAGTCCACGGCGTGGGTGATCAGCTCGGCTAGAAGCCGTGCGCTCATTCGCATGGTGCAACACTCTCTCCTTATCACATTCCACGACTTTGACGACGATGAGGAGTTTTACGATGGCTTGCTCCGCGTAGTGCGCAACCTTGTCTTTGAAAGTCCTGGAGTACAGTGCGAGGAGAGCATTTTGTGCTCGCTGGATTTCATGGATGAGGGGGAGAAGGCGAATGAGGTTCACGGTGACAGGGTATACTGGCGTGGTGTCGACGATAATCTAAACTCGCTGGAGAAGATCCGACAGCGCGAGCAGCTTGCACTCATGACAGCACGTAGTACTACATCCTGTATTCGCCCTGATGATCCCGCGCCGCAAAATACGGCTCAAGACATGATGCAGGAAGAGGAAGGCGCCATACTGATACCTTTTGTGAGAAACCGCAAGGAGCCCATTGACGTGGAGGCGTCAATGCGCCGCGTCTGCGAGGATTCCCTCTTAACCAATGAAGTGCTGAATGGGGTGAGTGAGGCGCTACATGAGATGAACAGCGCCCGGCGTCGTGGCAGCGGCGCCGGGCAGTGCGAAGCGATGGACCGCCTTGTGGACTTACTTGCGCAGGCGTAGGAAGAAAAAAAAAAAGTGGATAAAGAAGAGGGGGAAAATATTTTTTTTTGAACAGCATTACGAAGTAAATAAAATGGAATGGGAGAAAAAAGGAAAATTTTGTGATTGTGTGTTTGCCGTGTCGGTGTTTTATGTGGTGTTTGAAAGCCGCGTGTAGCGCTGCGATGTTGTTATGCGCAGCAGGAGACATCAGGCACAAGCCTACGTAACCAACATGGTTTTCTTCAAATAGCAGAAAACTACGCCCCCTTCCTCCTCCATAACTCGTTCTTGTTGTGGTTGTTTGCCCTCTGCAGGCTTGCTTTTTATGTGTGTTTTGTTTTTGTGTGTGTTGCTCGGGTGAAGCGATGCTCTTTTGTTTCTCACTTATTTCTCCATATTGCTGCGGGTGTTGAGGATTCGCGCGTGCTCTTGTTTGACTCACATCACTTTCGTTTACGCCGTCCGCGCAGTTTTTTTGCGCGTCATTTATAAACAGGTGGAAATGTTTCCCATTTCTCTTTTTTTGTTCTGTGCGCTTGTGTGTACGAGAGAGAAGGAAGTAACTCCAAGAGAAAGAAGAAACTTTGTTCTAATTGCTTTCTGCATCCACCACGTTCTCTGCGTATGCGTGCATTTTCGAATGTGTGATGCACCTTTTTTCCTTCTCTATGAATGCAGGGATGAGAGGTGTTAACCGAACTTCACTGAACTGCGCTGCTTGTGTTTTGGTGGGATGATTTATACGAATTTACTTGTGTTTGTGCATATTTCCTTTTTTTTATTTTTATTTTTATGGATGGGAGCATAACTTGTTTTTGAATGCATGCTGGTGAATACAGTGTGTTTTGCGGTCTTTCCTTGTCTTGTTTGCGCGAATTTGCCCTTCCCACCTCCCGCTTCCTCTCCTTGTGGGCAGAGGAAGCTGCTGCTGAGAAGGAACGAGGCCGAGGTTTGAGGGGATCCATTGATTGCAAAGTGTGGGTGTGACGTCATCCGTCCCCTGTTTTTATCTTCTTTTTTTTTTTTTTTTTTTTATTAATTTCCCTCTCCGTGCTTTGGCATGCGAATGCACCGAGACGCACACTGTCTTCTGGCATGTCACACATGCGTATGTGCTTCAAACCTTTTTGTGCCTTGGCGGGGCACACGGGCTTTCGCTCACCTGATTTTCCCTTTCAGCGATGAGTGCAGTTTGTGAACGTAACCCAAACTCGATGTAAGAAAAAAAGAAACGAAGCGATGACAACAATAACTTTTGGAATCGCAGTGTGTGTTCAGGGGCTCTTTGAGTTTCGTTTTTTTGTCCTTTTTTTTTGTTTATTTGTTTTGAAGCTTCTCCTCCTGCTGCCACTGATTTACGGGCGCTTCCCATGCAATGAAACTTTAACATGCTTCTGTAACTATGCAGTCTTTCTGATTCCTCTTCCACATCTCATTACAACGTTTCACGAGAAAGAGTGAAGTCATTTAAATTTATTATAGGGATTACATTCCTGAATCCACATACACACAGACACGCATACCTACAGTTATATATTTGGATAAAAAACTCGGAGTGAGAGACGGTCATGTCTTCTGTGTACAAGCGGCAACGTACAACATCCGAGTATGAGGAGCTCAGCGTGTCGGCTTTTGTTGAGAGCTGCATCAACTTCAAGACAAACCTGAGCTTCCACACCACAGCCGAGGGAAAGCAATTGGCGAACGAGGCTATGCGGAGTACCCCACAGCAGCCCAATATTGTACTGCTTTTGGGCAACGAGAAGCAACTGCAGGACAAAAAGGCGCTGAGCAGCTTCTTCCCGTACTACAGCAATGCGGTGGCGTCGGCAATTAACGTCGCTGCTACCGGCCAAAACTATGTGGCTGAGATTACGCCACATGCACGTATTCTTGTTGGTATGGTCCCCACCAAGGCGTCTCGTCACAATTGCCCCTCACGACCAGACGTGGTTTCCACACTGGTTAAGGATGCCATTACTCAGGCCCGTCGTGTGGATGGAGAGAATTCCTCTTTCAGGTTTGTTGACATTTATTGCTGCGAGTCGGAAAACGAACTTTGTATCGCCACAGTCGTCGCACGTAGCGCAAATCGCAGCTTCTCGGCGAAACGCGGCCGTGCAGAGAATGGGTATGTGGAAGCTGGTCTTCCGGTCCGCGTGTTTTTTGCGCCAAACACTACGAAGCTCACTTTGACAGAGGCTGAGAACACCTTTGCGTGTGGAAGCCGTCATGCGCTGGAAGTGGCAGCGCTGGTGGTGCAGTTATGTCAACGGCTCGTGGATGCCCCAACGAATCTGCTTGATACCACCACTTTTACAGAAATTGCTTCAGGTCACTTGGAAAAACTGAGGGCCCAGGGAAGAAACGTTTCCATTGATATTATCGGTGGGGAGGAATTGCGCGAAAAGGGGTACGGTGGGCTCTACGGTGTTGGCAAGGCGGCAGAGTTTCCCCCGCACCTTGTTACCCTTTCGTACCATCCGTCCAATGTCGTTGACCCACAAGAGAAGTTGGCGTTTGTTGGAAAGGGCATTGTGTACGACACGGGTGGTTTATCCATCAAGACATCAGGTGGTATGTGCAACATGAAGCATGATATGGGGGGCGCGGCGGCTGTCTTTTGTGGATTTATTGGACTTGCTATGCTTGAGGTGCCCCATATGATCTCCTCCTTGTTGTGTCTGGCTGACAATGCCGTGGGGCCACGCTCCCAGCGTAATGATGACATTATTCGCATGAAGTCTGGTCGCACGGTTGAAGTCAACAATACCGATGCAGAAGGGCGACTCGTTCTGGGTGATGGCGTCTATCATGCCTCCGCATTGTTGTCCTACACCCCCAACATTATCGTCGACATGGCTACCCTGACAGGGGCACAGGGCGTCGCGACAGGTCGCGCTCATGCCGCCCTCTATGCAAATAACGAAGAAATCGAGAACCGTATTTTAAGGGCGAGTCGCATATGTGGCGATCTGTGCTTCCCAATTTTACATTGCCCAGAGTTTCACTCTTCCGAGTTCACTAGCAACATCGCTGATAGTCGCAACAGTGTGGCAAACCGGGGAAACGCCACCGCAAGCTGTGCAGCATATTTTATTGGCACTCATATCGATGCCAAATACAAAGGCAGCTGGGCTCACATTGACATGGCGTCACCAGTTTCACGCGAAGAGGCTACTGGATTTGGTGTGGCACTTCTGCTACAGACGTTTGCCCCGTCATTTAACAGTTCCGTAGGACTATGATGGAGTTATACTTTGCACCTTTAATTGTGTGCGTCCGTTTTTTTTTCTTTTTTTGACTTGCTAGGAACTGCTGTTACTCAAGTGTATCACGTAAATAAAGAAACATGTATATCTGCGCATATATGTAGATATTGACACACACAACTGCATGCGTATGTTTGTATACATTAATGGGTGGTGGTTGGCGTCGCATCCACATAGTAAAAAAAAAATAATAGCTCCCGTACTCACGGAGAGAGGGGAGTGGTGGGGCCTAAACGACAGAGGCGAGAAGAAATAAACAAGAGGGAAGAATGAAAGGACAGTAAAAAAGGGCACTATCAAGAAATGACGAAAATAGGAAAAAGGGAAATTATGGGCAATTATATTTAGTTTGCATACAGAGATATGGAGCATGGGCATACACCGTTTGAAAGCTGTGCAGGCAGTTGTTTGCATCGTGCATGGGTGATGAAGCAAAGAGTAGGCAGGAAACAAATGAACGAGGTTTGTTGGAAAACACAAATGCAAATATGGCAAGAGTGAGAGAGAGGTGGGCGGGGTGGGTAAATCGCCATTTAAAAACATGTACTGGAAAACGAGAAACGAAAGGTGCGTTTCACACGGCCCTTACGAAGAATGATGAGGAAAACCTCATAGATATGGACCAATAGCATTTCCAGTTACCGCAGCTCTTTCTGTGTGTTTGTCTTTTACTCGTGATGGAGAAGACACCCGCGTTTTATTGGCCCTAATATACGTATTTGAGATACATGAAGTGGGCAATGTCCTCTTTTTTAATTAATTTATTTATTTATTTTCGTTTTGACGTATCAACCTTATGTTGTTATTGTTTTCTTCCGTCAATGCGGCTTCTTAACGACATTCTAAGTCCCACCCTTTTGGAAAGCACGCGTTCCACTTGGTGTGGAGAAGGTGAGGGATTGAACAGCAGCAAACCAAGGAAGTGTAGTCTAGGCAGAGACATTCCTACTTGGTGGTTTTATATTTTTATTGGGTCTAACGTGGCATGGCTCTTCCTGGCTGGGCTCGTCGATTTGAAGTCTACGCCATTTGTATGGTCTGGCCCATCGCCACCATCGTTGGCATGGTGTCGACGTACAGGATCTTCATGTGGAGCTACGGTGGCCGTGACTGCTTCCGTTACGTGGCCATTCAGGAGCCATTCAAGGAGAAGTGGTACGAAGTGAACCCCAAGACGGCAATTGGTCTTGATACTCCCCTGGCGCATGTGCCAAAGTACCTCTTGACACCCGGCCACAGCACAGGGGAAGACGAACACAGGCACCACCGCAACTACTAAAAGCACCAGGAGAAGAGTACGAGATTCGGCAATGAGAGAGTAACAAAAAAGGGTGCAGAAGGAAAAACAACAGCAACTGTAAACAGATTTGATGAACGTTTGTTCACGAAGTTTGTGCAGGAAAACGCATAGGTTCTGCTCTTTTGTCGGGTGTGAGTGATGCATCGCGTGAGGAACATACGAGCACCAGCAATAAACTTGTTTTTCTCGCTCTCCGTTTCAGTCGGTGCACGTGTCATTGTCTGCTTTGCGGTGCGTGTTGCGATGTTGACTTTGCAGTGTTGTGTGATCTTTATTTGTGCATTCTTTTGGTGCCGTCATCGATGTTTCTCCTCCATTCAACCCGGCTTTTTCTCTCTGTCACCTTGACGGAGTATTTTTACTGCCCCATAGGGAGACCTCTCAGACCTGCTCAGACGCCGAGGGGATAGAAAACACTCATTACAAATGACAAGACGTGCAGCCTCTAAGACATCCAATTACTCGGAGAATACGAAGCCGAATGTCTCCGTTGATCCTATGTTTTTATGCTATTATTTTTTTTTTGTTCTTTTTTTTTTTTTTTGTTTGAAGTCATCATCAAAAGTAGACGAGTCAAATAACAAGAATAAGGCATTTGGCAGGTAACGCTATTGGTACAAGATCAGGCGTGTTGTACTTGTTTATCGGGGAAGTTCGTTTGTCTTATTCCTCCGTATTGACCATATCAGACTCAATCTGTCCACACATAATACAAACGTAGATTATTATTATTATTATTATTATTGCCCACACAACAGCTGAGAAGGTGGTTTGTCGGTGGTGTAGCACACTCCACGGGTGATGCAACATTTTTTTGTGATTCGGTCCTCCTACGTGGCGTTAATCTATGCCATCATTGCGAGCACCGGCCTACTACTTGCTCTCTTTGTGGGACTGTGGATGCACCCCGATGAGTTGTTGGACACACACTGCAAGGTGACAGAGTATTGGCCAAGTATAAGCACTCTTACGGGAGACTTTCAACCAGAGCGGCAGATCTGGCGCATGGCGTTTGTTTTATGTACACCGTTTCGTCTTGGTACAACAATCTCATTGTTTTTGGTCTTTTGGCAACGTTCCTATGGACATGTGAACAACATAAGCGACATGCTACACTCTCCTATGACGTTGTTGAAGTCCTCAACGTTTTTGACGCTGCTGATGCTTTTCTGTGATATTACTCGTCTCTTTGGTGCACTAACTTGGACCATGATTGCATCCGTTGAGAACCTTAGTCGCCACAATGTGGGGTTTGGCTTTTATGTTTTTATGGGATTCATCCTACAGCTGGTTATTGATGCCATTGCGCGACGAAACAAGTACAACAGTCAAATCTATGCATCATTTTCTGACGCTGATTTGTCGTCTCGTTTGAAGCGTGCGTTTCTTATTGGACAAACGGTGAGTGCGCTTTCTCTCGTTGCCTTTTACATTCGTCACGTCGCCACGTGTGCTCCTGGAGCGTACAGTCTGTCCACCATGTCTGAGTGGTTTTTTGCATTTTTTAACATTTCTTTTGACGTCACTGCATGGTTTGAGTTGAAAAAGACCACATGGGTCCTCGGCGCGACTCCGGAGCAGTACGAGGCGCTCGCCACGAAACGCAATCAAGAAAAAGCGAAGGAACAAATTACAAGCGATACACATGAGGCGAAGGAGTCTCGCACTTCACCCGATGTCGTAATTTATCCAGAGGGCGACAAGCCTGGGGATAATGTGGTGATCCACGACTTCACATTCTGTTGTGCCCCATCAGTCACGACAATGTGGCTAGTGGATATCTATTGGGTCTATCTATTTTGGGAGATGATTGTCCACCTTGTGCAGCACACATACTTTATGCCTATGGTGGCCATGTCCATTTCCTGGGAATTGGTTGGGTTTGTTGCATATTGTTCACCAGTGCTGCTGAAATTTGGGTCATTCCGTCGATTTGCATTGGGTCATGTCTCTTTTTTAAGCCCCCCGCAGGGAGGTACAAAAGAAGGTAATCAGCGAGGAGTTCCAACATATCTGTTTTTTTACTTGATCGCTGCCTTGTCCCATGTTCATGTTTACGTTAAAGATAGTGAGCGACTGAAGCAGCTGATGACTACGTTCGGACCATTCTTCCTCTCATTGGCTATCTTCTCTCGTTACCTCTACCCAGCTGCTTCCGTCCGAGACACCAGTGATGACAATTGTCGTATGTTGTATTCGTTTCCACTGGGTCTTGTGGTGAGCATGCTTGTTCGTGTTCTGTATCTTTCACAAGATCCTGTCTTTACGGATGCCGTTTACGCTGGACTCTTTGGTATTGTTCTTGGTATCGCATGCACGACCATTCTCTATCGGCATGTGATGTTTTCACCGGAGGATCTTCACCTCAAAAGGTCTGAAGAAGCATATGCGAACAACAACGATGAGCAAAGGCATGTACACTTTGTTTGTACACGTCCGCCTAACAGCATTGCAACGCTGGCATTGGCCGCCGCGCCGTTTTCTCCTACCATTATGGGTCTGTTGTTTGGGTTTCTCACAAGTGTTTCGTTAACCTTCTTCTCATGTGCCAATTATATTCCACGACTTTTGGCAATTGATCCCTACCCAGCCAACTTGTTGGTTGTCGGTTGCTTTGTTTTGGGTTTGTACTACTCCCCGGATATTCTACCGATTGTGTCACCTGGCCAACGCAATTGTTTGCAATGGGGTCGCTTGGGATTTGGCCTTGTGGGAGGATGCCTTACGATGCTCCTTGGCACACGCCAGACAAATCGCTCCTACGAACTTCCACATGCACACTACCCAACAACAATGGCAAGTTTGAAGGAAAACGTAGACATTCGTTTCTGGGCGGTAGAAGAGGATTTTTTTGGTAATAAATACGTTGCCTTTTTTGGTGGACTTGTTATGACGTTCTGCGTTGGCGTATTGTATCCGCTCGCCATTGAGCTTGTCTTTGCGCATCAGAGAGTACGCCGTCTTTCAAACGTTGCTTCAGACAAACCGGACAATGCATATGACTCTCAGACCCATCCCCAGTTGCATGTGACATTGTTTGAATTGGTATGGGCGGTGACAAACATTTTTTTTCTATTTCTCTTTGCCCTATGTATTTCGTATCCATTTGTTCCCATGGCATGGCTTGTGCGTGAGCGTTCCGTCTCCATACACCTTGTCGTTGTGTCTGGTGTGTTTCTTCTTGCGTGGTATTTGTCCCGCCGCGTGCAGAACACCACCATGTCCGAGAATGATTTTAAACGCATGAAGAAACAGCGGCGTATGCCGCTTGTAATATTTCTTTTAATCTGCTTCGCGTTTTTTGCCGTTGTTGTCGGTCGTTTCGCGCTGGAACCCGAGGATCGCAGTATCTCTCCTGGGAAGGATACGGCCCGTCTCTTCAGCCGTGAGGTAGTGCAGGTGCACGAGGTCATAGCCCGACTGAGGTCAGAGAAGAACGCTGCCACGGACCCTCTTGTGGATGAATATGAGGTCAAATTCTTTGAGAAACGGTATGAGGCTCAGTTAGAGCATCTTAAGGAGGAGGTGACAGGGGTGATAGCCAATAACTCGAAGTTGGTAAGGAAGATTCCAGCGGAAAAATATGGGATATCCTTCCCACATCTGAGTGTGAAAAACCGGCAAGACGTCTGGGAAGCCGCCTTGGAAATGACTTTTTTCACTGGCATGATATGGACCGTGCATTTTGCGTTGGATAACGCCAATACGGACTCACTCACACGAATGGTGAAACAGGCGGCTTTGACGGGTGCTGGAGTGATTGGACTGCTAGAAAGTGACTGTATGCACTTGGCGAATGGAAATCGTGATATGGTGGAGTTATTGTCCTATTCTCTCGGGTATAGGTATACCAGTTATGGACCTACAGCGCTAGACAACACGTATGGGTGTGCATTGATATCAAAGTACCCCATTTTGACTGTGCGACGCTACATCTCCCCCTCTCCTCAGGGTGAACTCTCTTGTTTGATCCACGCCGAACTTGATGTGTTTGGTATCACGATCCAGACATACGTTGGTCACTTTGGGAATACAGAGCACTGGGGAGATGGTCTCCTTCAATCTCAGTTCCTCAGTCGCCTTGTGACTCGTAACCCGGGTCCTTCCGTTTTTCTTGGCTATGTTGTGTCCTACCCTGGTAACCCAGAACGGTATCAATATTATGCCTCTCAGACAAAGCCCGGCTACTTCCGTGACACAGCACTCGAGTTATACCGAAATCATGCATGGCATCGCATGAAAGAACGTGGCGGCTACGATGAGGGCGAGCCGCAGAAGACCACAGTTGCACCTGGTGAGTCGGTTGATTTTAACGTGGAGTGGAAACTGGAGCGTGTGGGCCATCTTGAACAGGGCATGGTGCCGGACGCTTCCTTCCGGCGAACACCAGAGGGCAAGCCGCGACGCTACTTCAAATTTGACGACACTCAACGCATTACAACGTACCACCCTCGCTTTGAGTTTATTGATAGATACTGTCAATATATCTTTTACAAGACGGGGGCTGCCGAGGACGAGCGACTAGAGGATGCCGCAAAGCTTCAGCCACTGCAGCTCTACCTGTACGATTGGTGGCGAGTGCTTGAGGGGGAGTCGGCAACGCTCTCAGACACGGAGATTCAGGTGGTGCAGCTTGGATTTAAGCTCTGAAAATAAGGTCAATAATACTAGGAAAACAAAACAAAGAAACACAGAGAACAACAATAAAAACTACAACATGGGCAAAATGGAGGTGATAACCTCTCGCTTTGTAATTTACACGTATCTTGTGCGTATTTGCAGTATACAGCTTTCTCCACCGTGGGTTATGTGCAGCGGGCTAAAAGTGAAGTGAATGTGGTACGTGTGTATGTGTGTGTGTGTGTGTGTAGACGTGTGATTTTCAAAGGAAGATAACGATAAAACAAAAGCAAATGTCTCTCAAGACGAAAAAGAATAATAACGATCGTAATAATGATGGGACTGGAATGTGGCACAAAAGAAAATGAAGGATTGAAAGGTAAGTTGGTTTGTAGGCAGTCAAATAAAAGAAGCATATAAAAAAAAAAATATATGAGGAAGATAAAGATTGAAGAAGCTTTTACCTCTAGATTTTGCTTCTACACTATTTGTTTGTTTGCTGGTTTATTTATTTGTTTATTTGTTTTTGCAATTAAGAGGATTTCTGGTCGACGTGGTATTATTACTTTTTATGTTTTCCTTCTGTGGGTATTTGAGCGCCGCTTCTCATGTTTTGTGCTGAGTTTTGCTGATGTGACGCTACCTAAGTAAAGCAAGGGGTTACAGGTGTCAGCGAGTGCGAAGTGAGGCTGCTGCCAGAGAAGATTACTGCGGAGTTGCAGTGGCGAGAGAGGCCTCGCAAAGGGAACAGGTGGAGGTCGGTGGTGGGAGACAGATATTCTTGTGGGCACCAGGCTGCGCTTCAACACCTGACAACAGCATCACTATATGCGTTGACCTCATGCGTGAAACTACTAATATCTGTGTACATGGCAAGTGGAATGGGGAGAACGAAACATGCACATGTGAAGCCGGATGGATCAGCGACACGCAGCAAGATGCTCTCGCCCCGTTTTTTATATGGTGCAATTTTACTGACCCGTTTGTCCGATATCCCCCTGAAAGGGGTCTGTCAGGCAAAGCTATTAGCTCTTTGGGTTCCAGGCTTCCTGTTTGGTCTCTTGCTGTTCTTGTACTTATTCCTATAGTTGTCATCATCATTGCTTGTTTTTGCTGCTGTTGCCGTCGCTGTTTTAAACCGAGCGCTGCTGCCCAGCCAACTCTGCAACAGCAGCAGGGAATGGTAAACATGCCTGTGCAATCCCCTCAGCTAACATTTGGTTCCGTTTTGGACGCCCCTATGTACGTAATGCCCGCGCCAATGTACCCCGACGCCACGCGCCATTTGCCGGTGGTTTCGCCGCATCACTATACCTTCGCTGGACTTGGGCCGGCGTACTTTTATGAGGATCCATATGCCGTACAGTTTAAACAGCCGACGGAGTCGCAGCATGCGACTGGCAACTGGCAGCCCCTCATGGGCCAACAAGAGCTGGTGCCTGAGAAAGCGGACAGTGACGGTGCCAGTGGGGTGGATCGAAGTTCTTTTGCCTCGATGAGCTTTCCTCTTGCCGCGGAAAGACCATTACAGGGTTCCTCCGTGCTCTCAGTAAGGAATGAATAATGATGAGAAGGAAATACAATTGACACGAGTTGCCTTTTGCTTTTTGTTTATTACTTTTGTGTTCACTTTCTGTATTTGTTTTACTCTTCACAGCGACAGTGAGTAGAGGCAGCCGCACATCGCGACGTGCTTCCACGTCATGCGTTGTTCATGTCCAAAACTTCACATGCGATATTCTGGTGTGGGAGAACCGAGCGCAGAATACAATCTGCTGAACTGGGCCTTCAAAGACGCTTACAAAAAAAAAAAAAAACTGCTACTCCAGCTGTCACTTAAAAAAGGGTCACATTACTTGTTGCACTTCTTGCCGTGTACACTGCAAAACGGCAAAGAAACAATGACAGAGAATAATTTAAGTTTGTGTGCTCAGTACTTTGATGGGTTTTGCCGTGAGAATAAGGTTCTTTGCTTCTTTTCACCTTTTTTTTTTTGGTTTTGGATTGCAGGATGGTGTTTGATTTCCTTTCCGTTGGATTACTCATCTGACCCGCGCGTTGGAGTCATTCTTGGCAAATTCTTTGTTATTTGTTTGCTGTTTTTCTTTTTCTTTTCTGTCTGTGTGTGCGGGACGTAGTGTGGGAAGCACACACGTGGAACCGGACGGTGAGGAAAGGTCATGTCAGGCATGCACGCTGGTACTTCATACTACAGAGAGGGCGATGGCCGCCATGTGGATGCATCTCCCGCCTCATCGCTTCTTAGCACGAACCAAGTGGTGTTTTGCGTCAACCCGGTACTGTTTATGAACTGTGGGATTATGCTTGATGCCCCCAGTGGCCTCACTACTTCAGCTATTATGAAGATACGGCAAGAATCTCCGAACTGCTCTGCCATTTCGCTTGCGTTGTGGCGGGACATTGCCGTTAATGTTATTGGCCTGCGAGAGGTCGTTGCGTACTCCATCTTTGACGTGGTGTATGCCCTCACGGGTAGCTTTGTGCAAACACCGTTGGCGGTGCAAGCGAACGGAAATGCGGCACACGTCAAGTCCGTGGCCGAGTACCGTCAGGAGGGTAATCGGGCGCTCCTTAAGAAAATGGGAGGATCTTTGGATGAGACCCGTTGGCCCTCCGCCTCTTCCTCTCGACAGGTGAGTCTACCAGCGCTCACCATCTTTCTCTTTGCACAGCTGCTGCTGGAGCACCCACCGCAAGCCATGCTTGGAGACATTAGCCAAGAGCTTATCATGAGCAGCGTGCGACAGCACCTTCACGATTACATCACGGCAGTGGCTGTTACACGTCCAGGGCGTCTTACCGTAGCAGATGCGCAAGAGTTAAAAATTCTTCTACGTGAGTTTGTCAATGGAGTTGAGCTTCCATTTGGGACGAGCATTGGCTTTTTGTGGCCGCGCTCTGAAAGAACAATTGACATTACAATCCTGTCGCAGTTTATACGCCCCAGAATTATGCTTCCCAGCGAGCTCGCCGCTACGACGACGGGTTCACCGTTTAGTAATAACCTTTTAGTGCGAGGACTACGCGGAACCATCTACATTCCACCATGCCCAGTGATGTCGACGAACGCCGCAAAATTAATGGTTTCTTCAAACTACACAATAGAAAAGTGCTCACAATCCAGTCTCTACATTACGTCGGATCTGCCACATACACGTCTTTCTCAACTTGTTAACTGCACTGTTGCCATTGGACCAGTGAGCGGTGTACTATGTGTAGATCGCTGTGAGAACTGCAACATATCAGCTTTATGCGCTGCCATAGTAGTTAGTCATTGCAAGAATGTGACAATTTTTGTTTGCACGAATACCCCACCTGTTATTTCTGTGCATAATGGGGATAGTACGTTAAAGAATGTTCGCTTTGCACCGTACAACTCGCACTACTCCACATTAGAGGAGCACCTGGCAAGCTCTGGCATCAATCCGAAGCTTAACCTCTGGAATGTTGGCCTTCCGACACCACACTATGTTCTTCCTCCAGATGACTTTACGCCAATATGTTTCCCTGTTGCACCCCACCCAAGCGCTGTGATCACGACCCGCACAAACCCCTGTCCGCTACCTCGCCTCTACGCTGAGGCACTGGAAAGACGTGTGCAGCGGTTTCAAGACACATCGACGCAATTACAGGAGACATACCAGCGACTGGAGTCGGAGGGGCGAAAGGACCTGGCAGAGAAGTTGCGTGGGAGAGTGCACACAATGTTCATGGAGTGGCTGCGTCGCACGGGGCAGGAGAAGGGGCTCATCAGCCTTTTACATCAAGGCACAGAAAATATATCCTAGGATTAATAATCTATCCACGCACGCAAAGAAAAAAAAAAGAGAGAGAGAGAAGGGGGGAAAGGAAAAGGAAAAAAAAAATGAACCTAAGAAGTTCAGGCTTAATGAGAGTCAAAAGGACAAAGCGAACTCATTCAATTTCCTTCTCTGTGTGTCCTCTTTTTTCCCCTCCCCCTTTTTTTTTGTTGTGTGAGTTTTTTTTTTTTAGAGGTTTCTGGAAAGCAAGTGTGACAAGTTGGGACGACGCGGATGATTGCACGGCTGGTTGAACTGACCCGTTTTATGTATTACTCCATGTGTTCCTTACGGAACCGTAGTGGGACGTAGCGGGAGAGCAGTTGTTTGTTTTTGGAGTCTCACCCTAACCCTCTACTGTTACTACTAATGCTCTCCACGCGGAGGGAGGTGACTGGTGGTTGCGCGGTCCTACCGACTGCCGCTTTGTGAGCTCAAAATTGGAGCTCGGTTGTCATATGTGTTGTGTTGTTGTTTTTTTTTTTTTTTCGTGTGTGTGTGTTGTGTGTGAGTGCATGGGATAAATTTACTTCGAGGGAACACTTTGGGTGCAATGGACCAAACTGACATCTTACACTATGCCGTCCTTTCACTCTTTGGGAAAGGGGGATAAGGTGCCATCCAGGCGAACCCGCTTTGGTTTTCTCTCTTTATGCCCCATTTGGTGTTTGGCGGGGAATAACTCCATGTTTCGCCTGGTATATATATATATCTGCTGGCGTTTTTGCCTGTCGGTCTCGGTGTATGTATGCGTGTGTCTCTTGGCGTTCCGCTCACTCCGTCGCGCGCGCGATGCGTGTTGCATTAAGCAAGCTGTAGTGGGGGGCGATTCCCCGTATTATTTGTCATATTTCATTCCTTGTTTTTTTTTCCTTAAACGGAAGACAATAAAATAAAATAAAAATGTATCTGGTAAATGAGCATGAATGCATGTGATGTAATGTATGCAGATGGCTGTGTTATTTATTGCCAGATTGGTTGCTTTGTGCCTCTTGCCCTTTGATCTATCGTCTGTACACCGTTCTTGAGGAAAAGATACATCCGGGAGCGGTGTCTCTTCTTCACACAGACACAGACACATACACAAATAAAAGGGGATCTGGGTGAGTGTAGGGG